GACAACAAGATTTATCTGCTCCTCGATACGCCCTTGTTTGATTACGCCATGAAGCGTTTGTTTGATCGCATTCACTTGTAGTCGTCTAATCTTCCGCGAGGTGGCACGCGGCAGTGCTGGATGTGTGGACCGTAGGACCACTTTTGAACGGTGATCTGACCTGACCCTTGTGGTAGAACAAATAAGGACGGAATGGACTCCCCCAGTCTTAACGCTTACTCCTGTGCCCTGAATATCCGTTTTGATGCGTTAAGATATGTTTTAACTGCATGTATAAGAACGACAGTGTTTTCTTTTCGCGACCTCTGGAGATCTCACATTTGACCTACGGTCAAAAACTTAAGGTGCATTCTTCGTATTTTGACGAGATCTTCGCAATGACACCTTTGTTTTTCACGCACGACGTGATCAGGCGTAGATTCAACAGTGTGTTCCACATTTGTTTGGGATTTTGAACTGTAAAGCCATTCTGACGACTTTTGGTGCAACCTCAGCCCCGTCCTTAAGACCTAGAGCCTTCTAATTTCTGAGCCGCACGCCCGCGAAGATGTACAGGCTTTGTTGAAGAGACTATTTCAAGACCACCCTCGCATCCATCACGTCATAATAGCGCCATTTAAATTCTGTCGTTCTATTGGCTGTGCGGCGATCAAGGTAAAAAACGTTGTTGTCGAGTCGTTCATATCTGACTTTCGTGAGCACGATTTCTAGATATAAAGGCCGTCAGTTGGCTCTCAATCAGTCTTGTGGAAGTTAGGATGATGTAACCAAACAATGACGTATTGAGGAGCAAAACTACTAAACAGAGAAACTGTGCTGTCTACAGCAGCCTTTTCCACTTAAAAATATATCAACAACAGCTATAATTGAGCTTATTTCCCCATAACTGATGTTTGCTTCAATATATTTCTCTGTGAACATTCTCTTTATTTGTTTTAGCACAAATTTAGAGCGAAAGGTATTAGCAGCCTGAAACTTGTAACTGCTGAGAGAAGCACGAGGCTCATGTCGCGCAAAATATATTTGGTCCACCCGATCATGTCCACCCACCTATGCAAAGATGACGTCATTAAAGCTATTTTTGCCGAATTTTGATTTTAGATTTTTTCTTGGCATCGATTGCAGGCGATAGTCTCATCTTCGAAATAGCTAACAAACAGCCTTACGGAATGATTGAGACGAGGTATTAGTATCTCAGATGAAACAATTGTCCGAGCTATCATCCCCGTGTGGTGTGTTAGTACGTGCACAACATTTCGGCGAGTGAACTGTCCAACCGTCATCAGGTGTTAGGGAGTCCTGAGAAGGACTGGGGGATGTTACAGCCATGTATGCTATGTATGTATGCCATGTATGCCTTACAGTCATGTATGCATCACAACCCGAATGCATTCGTCAGAATTGCTGGGATTCAAACCACGGCCTTCTGATTGCGAGTCCAGTGCTATAACAGCTGAGCTAACCAGAAAGAACAATCCGTAGGTGTTTGAACTTAGTGTTATGCATCTCCTGGATATTTTTGAATTTTCCAAGGAACTGGTGGTTGTTATTTTGGGCTGATGGGGTTGTTGGCCAGAACGCTTGGCTCACTGATGGGGTTGCTAGCCAATGCCACGCGCACGGCCTCCTTGACCTTTCTGACTTTCCAGCTTTGCTTTCTGCCGAGGATAGTAACATCCTGTCTGTGAAGCGGACTCGGGCTCCATTTGTTGTGGAAGGTACCGGTTAGATGATTTATTTCCCTCTTCCCAGTTCCGTCATCGTCGACGAAGGCATTTACGCGGTGCTGAGGCAGCTCACGAAGCCTACCTTGACTGTTGCGGAGTGATGTGACTGGAATTCAGGGACCGGCTAGTTGCCGTTGGTTTTCGGTATATTGGTGTCCCCAACCTGCTGGTGGTCCTCTCGACCTGTAGTCCAGGAAAGGCAGCCAGCTGTTAGCTTTACGACTCATAGTGAACTGTGTGGACGGTCGCTAGCTGTTGATGTGGTCTTGGAATGTCATTGCGTCTACCTGGTGTTGCCAGAGAATGAAAGCGTCGTCGGCGTGATGCGGATATACTGCGGATTTTGGTGATGCAGTCTCATCTCCATGTCTTCATCATGGGGTGAAGAAGATCACATCAAAATATGTGGAAACGCAAGAACAGCAATATAACCTCTAAGCTAATAGCACAACCAATCAAGGTGATCGTAAGACTGAGTGATTAGCAGCTATCACCACAAGAGGAGCCAATGCTGAATACATTAGTATAATTCACAACCTCATACGTGCGAATAACCTACATGGACACCATATCTCTCACAGGAGAGTGCAAAGTAAATCGAGAGAGAGCAGGGAGATGGGCTACACTGGAAAGTCAGACAAACATTGGATAAAGCCATACTGCCAAGGCTAAATGTGGCCAAGGAAGAACGAGCAGGCATCAAGGAACTAAAGAATGACGACAGCATTGTGATAGTGCCTGCTGACAAAGGCAACGTCACAGTAGTCAAGACCTAAAAGTACACTCGCAAGCTAAACCTGGTGAGTGATGAGACACACAAAAAATGAGAATAGATCTTTCGACAACAACCGAACGAAAACTAACTCAGGTTTTGAAGAACAACAAGGACGAAGGAAAACCAACAGATGCACCGTTTAGACATCTAAGTCAATATTACAGCAGACGTGGACAATGTAGTGAATCTATATGGAAAAGTTCGTAAGTTGCTTTTGGAACCCAAAGGGATATGGGCTGCTTTTAAAGACTCGGGTGATCTCGGCTACCCTCCTTCCGGCGTAAAAGTGCATTGACTTAAGGTCAGTTTTCCCGATGAAGTGGGTTTGTGAAGCTAGCCTTTGAACGGGACACTTGTAGCTGTTTGTGTTCCGACTTATTTTTACGGTGGAAATGACGCGTGAGGGACTTCGTTCTCATGACCTATGTCGTCAACTAACCTCCCAAATTTGCTGGGTTTTGGGTTCCTCGGACCAACGGTCTAGCTTGTGTCATGTTCACGATTGTTGCAAATCTTATTCATTTTTGATATCTATGTATGCCAAAATGTCACGAATTTTGTCGCAAAATTGGCATCACCATATTTTAAGGTGAAAAGTCAAGCTAACAAGCACGCGTTATAAAATGGCTCATGCATGTCTCGGCTCGACCGATATACGTTCGTTCGATTTGATCATAATGCGACGCACACTTTTCGTCTTTGGGAAGGGCAATGCGGGTAGATGTGACTCAGAGTAAGTGTGTCCCAATGAGAATGTCGTCTAATTCATCAGACCAACACCTATGAAAGCCCGAACCTAACCCACCCAATTATGGTGTCCACAAACGGTAATTCATTACAGTCGTGGACTTTTCGGTTGTTTGCCCTCGATCGAACCGGTCTCTGTGAAACGCGTTTTTTGGCGTTCCAAGTTTTCGCGAACGCTTCCCCATACGGGCGAACTTCACCTGCGGCTAAGGGCCGTCACCATCACTCCAGCTACCAAGTTGGTCCCTAGAGTGATCTAAATTAATGATGTTTTTAGCTACGATGGGGCAAGCATTAGGTCCCATACAGAGAACCGTGCATGGTCTCCATGTAGAGATTTATTCATCAGGATCAGAGCTATCCATAGAGGCACCGTATACGCGGGACTCAACAAGAGAGAAGCGAGGTACTTTTTCAAGCTGCTTACGCGTTTGAGCAACATTTGGGATATCACCCACACCACCCTCCCATGCATCTGCGTTCGGTCAAGCCGCTTGGCATCACATGACTATCGGATCTCTTTATCCCGATGTGGTGTTGTCTTCTGACGCATGTACATTGGCCCATTCTAGTGATGTTACGCGGACACTTGCGGCGGACCTGTGACGCTCACGGTGTTACCAGGTACGGCGGACCTGTGACGCTCACGGTGGTACCAGGTACGGCGGACCCGTGACCCTCACAGTGTTACCAGGTACGGCGGACCAATGACGCTCACAGTGTTACCAGGTACGGCGGACTTGTGCCCCTCACAGTGTTACCAGGTACGGCGGACCTGTGACGCTCACGTTGTTACCAGGTCCAGCGGACCTGTGACGCTCACGGAGTTACCAGGTACGGCAGACCTGTGACCCTCACAGTGTTACCAGGTACGGCGGACCAGTGACGCTCACAGTGTTACCAGGTACGGCGGACCTGTGACGCTCACGGTGTTACCAGGGTCGGCGGACCTGTAACGCTCACCGTGTTACCAGGTACGGCGGACCTGTGACGCCCACGATGTTACCAGGCGTTTCAGCAGAGCTGTGTCCTGCAGCGCCGCAGCGGCAGACTTACCAACAACACTGACGACACATCCGCTTATTGGGAGGGCATCGATGCGTCAACCTGACTTGAACACACTGTCTGCGACGTTTTCCCTGTAGTGTATTGACCGTCTTAAATTGCATAAACGCATTTGTTTGAATAATTTACATTAAAGAGCCTTCGTTCCCTTGGCACCCTCCAATGTGTACGCAATCCGAACGAAGTGAGAGACTAGCTTGAAAGCTCCACTGGAAAATAAACATGCAGAGCATACCAAGGGAGAGCTTTGCCGGAAAAATGAGCATGTTTATAAGTCAACTGACATCAGTTACATCACTGATGATCTTACGAAGTTGGAGAAAGAATGATCATCGTTTTCAACTGTTCATAACCATGTTTAAATATGCGATTAGGGGAATATATTAAATAATTTATTGATAACTGCATTCTATAACATAGCATTAACTTGTGAGTCTTAATCTTTGCGCCAGACAGTAAACGATACCGTTATAAACATGATCATGTATCGACATTTGGAATTTTTTGACGTTTGCACTCGCATATTGGGTTACCAAAATGTTGTATGCAAGGTCATGCAATGGTGAGTTAAGCAAATTGTGTTGTTACCGTCCTTCACAACATCTATGCTGCGGATGCCTTCCGCGGTGAAGGCCCAGAACTCATTAGTCACGCATAATTCCGCCACCACCAGAGAACAAAAAACACAAGTTGTAGAAACGTCTTCATTTCAAAAACAGAGAACACATGCACAACGTTTGAGAGACATGAAATAGTCAAGTGGGCCTCGTTAGCACACATAAACAATGTGGTTCAGCCACGTCGCGGGCATGAGCTCAACTCGGGCCTGGCGGTCCGCTCTTCTGGGAAGCTCCCACAGCCAGAGGCGCTAGCCGGCCCGGCTCGCAACGCGCGCATCAAAACCGCATGAAAGTGGAGACGAAGAATGGGATCGCAAACCCACCCTTACTCTGTGACAGAAAACGCATTTTTAACACTCGATGAGTACACAGTTCACGATAGCAGCGCTAGATCTAGTGAAATGCCGCACAAATTGAGCGTATAGAGTATGCACCATGTAATGTCTGTTCAGTATATTCTGTCTAGAGACGGGCAGGGTGCGCGCTGCGGATTGGCAGGATCGTGTTCCTACTTTTTCAGAGCGTCAGCACTAATGTGCATTTTTTTCAGGCGTCATGCGTGGAAAACGTGTTGAAAATATTCGAGAGATACAGCAAGTTGAAGAAATTAAAAGAGTCCTGTTTTGGAACATCTCATTATTGATATGTTTCAAAACATTCATTATTGACGTGTTCCAAAACGTTCTTCATTTACATCTTTCAAAACATGTCATTATCAGCATATTCCAAAACATGACAAAGTATTTGCTCACATGCTCCCAGGTTATGTAGGTATGTGCTCAATCTGTTATTTGTTAATCCTTAATAAACATGAGTGGTCGTGTTATGCACACTGCAATTGGTGAAACGAGCAATGCAAAATTTCCATCTAATTTTTTTTCTTACACGGACTCATGAAGTGACTCCAACCGAAAGGGCAATGCTCAGTCAATACCGTATGTGTAGGCATGTGAACAAATGTGAAGGTCACATTTGTGTTTTTTTTAACTCTCAATCCTAAAAACTAACAAAATGAAGATAGATGAATGGACATTAAAATAAATAGCAAAAATGCACTGCCTAGAACATTCAAGATTGTTGTTGGTATCTCGTAAGCGAGAATGAGCAATCGACAGAGGTGAATAGGGATATGATGCAGCTTATTTCATCTGAGGTATATCAAAATCAGAAGAGTCCAGGTAAGTTGACTTTAAATCATCACCTCATTTGTTAGAATATTCTACCTAGCAATGAAGAGTTTCTAATTGTTCTCACTAACCATTGCTCACCTTCGGAAGGGGCGCTACATGCGGGAGTCATAACGGAGAAATCTGCCGGATTATTATGTTCCCACATTTTAGGCAGGGCACCACGGGGTTCGTCACAGGGATGAGTTTATGCTCAGAGGTCTATGACATATAATCGTCTGCTACCCAGCTACAAACATGGCCTACAATATTCTTAACAGTGAATTACATTGTCCTCCCCCGGGGAGTCACTCGCCTTCTCGCGAACACGCATTAACGGCACACTCCAACCGCACAAAATGGATGAACGATGTGTCGAAACGGATGGCGCGTGTCGAAAGCTGATGCCGGTTCTCTCGGAGACCCCTGCACTGGCGTCGGCCCTGCCGAGCGCGCCTCACCGCGCGCCCGTCCGCCGCGCCGTGGCCAGTTCCTTGAGCGTTCTGCCGTCGCGTCGCCTATGCCACCAGGATGTGCGGCGCAGTCAACAGGATGGCGATGGTCGCCACGACCGTGAACAGCGTGAACACGATCAGGCAGAAGCGGTCCACCACCATGGCGGCGAACTTCCAGTCACTGATAATCTCGCGGATCTCATCGTCCTTGCGGATGCGCGCCGTGATGAAGCGCAGCTCGCGCAGCAGTGCCTGCAGCTCGCGGTGCGTGCCGGCACAGCCGCTCGACGGCGTGTACTCGAGGCCGCCGTAGCCGCCGGTGGGCGCCAAGCCCCGGAAGTCGTCGTCCATGTCCAACACGTTGGCCAGCAGCGACTTGGAGGAGCGCTCCTTCAGCTCCAGCTCCTTCATCTTGTTGTTCATCATGATGGTCTTGCGCGTGATCTTGCGGCCGGGCCGTGACATGCGCAGGAACCACGGCAGCCAGTTGAGGAACAGCGTACTGATCTGTGGGGCGGGGAGGTGTCAACCGGCCTGGGTTCAGCGCTCATTAGAGGAACGGGAACGTGTCTTTTGGCCTGAGTCGGCGCCGATTAGAGGAACGGGCATGTGTCAGTTGGCCTGTGGTCAGCGCTCATTAGAGGGGCGGGGAGGTGTCAGTTAGCCTGGGGTCAGTGCTCATTAGAGGGACAGGGAGGTGTCAATTGGTCTGGGGTCAGCGCTTATTGGAAAGACGGGAAGGCGTCAGTTGGTCTGGGGTCAGCGCTCATTAGAGGGACAGGGAGGTGTCAGTTAGCCTGGGGTCTGTGCTCATTAGAGGGACAGGGAGGTGTCAGTTGGTCTGGGGTCAGCGCTCATTAGAGGGACAGGGAGGTGTCAGTTAGCCTGGGGTCAGTACTCATTAGAGGGACAGGGAGGTGTCAGTTGGTCTGGGGTCAGTGCTCATTAGAGGGACGGGGAGGTGTCAGCTCACACCCAAACAAGATATATCCTGCTGGCACTGCAGCTTTGCACGGAGAATCGATCTGCCCAGGGCAAACGGGAAGGAGCGCAGGTTCATCTCTCTGCTGACAAGCGAATTTGTACCTCAGAAGTAAAGAATATGACCAAGGTTGCCAAGTGTACGGGCCGGATAGGGTTGGCTATCTGTTACAAAATTGCACTGGTGTATATATATATATATATATATATATATATATATATATATATATATATATTTACATATAAACATGCGTGTGCTGTCTTTCAGCCCTGCGGTGGCTTGGCGTTTCGGCATGACGAAAAATTAAAAAAAAATGGAAGGGATGACGGAAAGTGCCGATGTTTGGGAAGCAAAGCGCGTTGATTGATAAACGCTTTCTGCGGCATATACCAACGCAGCACGGAACTTACCCACTGCGGCATTCTGTGTGTGTCTGCCGTCCTGTGGTGGTAGTTAAGAACCACAACAGTGAGCACGACTGAGGATGCAACCATGAACATGATGCAGTTGAAGTACGTCCCTGCAACAGACGGTGTGCACCGTTCGATCAGCAGGGAACCAGCACCGATCTGAATAAAAGCCGCTCTTCAAGCCACACTATCTGCTTGAGGAGTTCATGACACAGACTACCTCCCTATCGCTTCCGCGTGTGAGACATGCATGACTATCGAGATCTTGACGCTACCGGCTACGCCCACCCCCACAGCTGAGTACACATCGCTGCACACAGAATGCAACGTCCGCCTGGCGACAGGGTAAGTCCCGGGGCCGGGTGTCCCTGGGACGGGCCTCTGTTTGCCGGGCCTCCGCGGGCCGATCGGGTGTCACCCTCCACCGCGCGCCGGGAGATCAAGCCTACCACACCGCTGTGGCGGTCAGGAGCAGAATTAAGTGGAAGGCGCACAGTCGCAGGGGAGATCAGCACAAGGATCGCTGCTGCAGTTAGGATCAGGAAGACAAGACGCGAGGCTACGGCGGACACCAGAAGAGGCACGGCAGCAACGGACACCAGGAGAAGAGTCGCAGCTAGAACGGACACCAGGAGAAGAGGCACAGCTACGACGGACACCAGGAGAAGAGGCACAACAACAACGGACACCAGAAGAAGAGGCGCAGCTAGAACGGACACCAGGAGAAGAGGCACAGCAACAACGGACACCACGAGGCACAGCTACAGCAGCATCAGGGCAAGGGAAGCGGTTACAGCTTAAATCAGGAATCAAGGGAAAGCGGTTACAGCTGAGATCAGGAATCAAGGTAAGCGGTTACAGCTGAGATCAGGAATCAAGGTAAGCGGCTACAGCTGAGATCAGGAATCAAGGGAAGCGGTTACAGCTGAGATTAGGAATCAAGGGAAGCGGTTACAGCTGAGATCAGGAATCAAGGTAAGCACAAAATTCGGTCGGAGATCAGGGCAAGAGACAGCTACGCCGGAAGTCTGGATAACAAGGAAAACAGCTCCAGCGTATGCCGGGAATACCATGTGCACGGGCGCGGGTAGGAGCAGGAGGAAAAGGTGCACATAAGCGGTTCGGATTAAGACAAAGTACACAGCACAGGCTGGGATCATGACTGCAACGTTCGCGATTGCAGTTGGAATCAAGATGGTAAGGACAAAAGCTGCAGCAAGTACCATGGGTACAAAGGATCCAGTCACAGTGGGATCAGGGGTGACGCCAAGGAATTTAGTTTCAACGGCATTAGGAAGACTAAGTACAACTACTGCAGGGACCAGGACGGTGTGGCCTTAACACAGCCTTCAGTTGGCTTTGAACAATAGGACAGACGACAGAACTTTTGCAATAATATCGCCGTGAACGACGAAGATGGGCGGCTCCGGGTTCATTGAATGCGACGCTGTCACCATTTTCCCAGTGTGTGGCTGGCTATTTGGACTCCGTCCTCAAAACTCGCAATATCCGAGCCCAACTTTGAGGCTGAAGCGGCCGCAGAGTGAGTGGAGGAGGCAGCAATGTCGTCGGGGTAGGCTGCACATCCATGATCCATGCCGTTATAATCCCGTTCAGCTCGAGAAGCATGGTGCAGTCAAGGAACCCTCCGGAGGGCGCAGTCTTCAGTGGCGATGAAGGTATACTCAATAAAGGCATAAGTTGCAGGCTATTGATCTGATTGCAACCATTCACATAGATAGTTGTAACATTTGGAATGTGATTAACCACCTCTTGAGTATCTGGACGCCGGCATGATTGATTATAAGTAAAACAATACAAATGCGTTTTGCAGGCATTCTGGTATGACCGACGTTGTTATTTATTATAGTTAGTCCCGCACCATATAAGTAACTTACGGCTGATTAAGATCACAGGGAAGCTGTTCATGTTATGTCTTGCCAACGTCAGTTTCCCGAAAAACGCCAGAATGCATTGATCGCGGCGAGGAACAGAAAAACAGCCCCGGAACGAATCCAGCGGTCGTGGCTTAGGGTCAAAAACAGACGACAAAAACCGTTATTTGATTTCCACTTCCAATCTGCTCTTGCAATCAACAACCAGACGTCGACCACTGCGGCCCCAGCTGGGACGCGAGTTCGTTGGACCGAGATCAAAGACGGCAGACAGCGGCGGTGATGAACCCGATCGACCGCGGCATTGCTCCATCGGCCCTTTAGCGCGGGAGGAGGGGCGAACAACACCTCATTGCGCTTCATCCCAACCCACACACGGGCACAACAGTCGTTGTCTCGCCAGGGTCATGGGTACACATGTCGTTATCGGGGCAGGTTGTCCGAAGTCCACCCTTCACTCCATTGACGGGCGTACAGGCGACCATGGTTCGGACGGCCGGCGACGGCGGTGCGTCAGACGGCGCATGCGCGGTGGCCAGCCGGTCACCTGTCTGTGCAATCAATGGACCCGGCCGCGGCCGGCGCCTTACCTGGCAGGGCGTGGCGCACAGTGCAGCAGGAGACCGCGTCCCTGTCAAAGGTCATCTAGCGCGTGCAAGCTACGGTCCGGGTGTTGGGGAACCCCGACAGACATGGAAACCATGCGGAGTGCGGAGGTGTCGAGGTGCATGATATTGGAAATGTAGATAATTGGAAAATGAGGATGCAAAGCGCATGCATAAAATTGCGAGAGTAGTTATCTTAAGGGATAGTCAGCAGCGTGTCTCGAAGGCATCAAATGGGAAATGCTTTCAGGTAACCTGGTGGAAAACAGTTCTGTAATTGGGCATGCAGCTCGTAAAGGGATAACGATTGTCGACTGTGAATTTTGGATTGTATCTTGACTGGTTACACAAACCGAACGAAATCAAGTTCAAATGAGTCGCTTTCCTGAGTTTTAGCTGGTACACCTTTCTCTGTGCTCCCATAGGTGTAGTATTTTATAAAAAAGTTCGGTCTCCATATACTCCAGGCATCGGCAAAACTTTGAACGTATTGGAGAAGGATGGTGCGAAACATTAAAACGAAAACCGCCTTAAATCTTTACCAAATGACAACTTAATTTGTTAGCATAAAGCCAGAACATAATGTTTGTCCTGGAATGCTAAGCACAACTCACATCCTGTTCACTGAAACGCACTGAGAACGGATGCGACTTCCTCAAAGACAGCAATGATTAACCAATGGACTTATTCCGCGCCACTCCCGTCGGCTGCGCCTCATTGGGCCCATACCGAGGGCGTGCGGCGGTGCGGTGCGGCCACCGCGCTCTGGGGGCTTGCAGCAGCAGGTACCGTAGAGGCCGGTGCGAGCTGTTCAGGGACGAGAGCGCAGGAGCTCTCATGCGAACTGTTCAGGGACGGGAGCGCAGGAGCTCTCATGCGAACTGTTCAGGGACGAGAGCGCAGGAGCTCTCATGCGAACTGTTCAGGGACGAGAGCGCAGGAGCTCTCATGCGAACTGTTCAGGGACGGGAGCGCAGGAGCTCTCATGCGAACGGCGGAGACAGTGGCGCATGTACGTGTGATAGGACCACCCCTTTTGGGAAGTCAGCAGAGAAAGGAGGTGCACTGGCAGAGTGGGGGGCCGCTGGTCCACTGAAGACGGCAGACAGAGGGGCAGACCTTACAGGAAAGGACGGCGACGGCCGCACCGGCCGACGCATCACCGCTGCCGCTACTCTGCCTGCAGGAGGGACGGGCAGCGGGTATGGTGTCTGTGCAGGGGCATCTGGACAATGACGACGTCAAGACCGCAGCGGAGCACCTGACGTTGCAGGTTCGCTGGGAAACTGACCCCGGGTCTGGACGACATTATGGGGTGCTGCGAGGACTGCACGTATCACCACTTCGGAAAAATAGGGAGGGTTGGAAAATGGCGGGTCAACAAGAGCAAGGGCTGTGCGATAGTTGGAACACAGAGCCCAGTTGCGGGGCGGGGCGGGGCGGGTCACTTGAGCAGTCATCTGTGCAAGTACCTATCAGAGGCAGATGATCCGAGTTGCGCGGGAGGAGTTCGTGGGCTATTAGAGAGAATACGATGAGGGACAGAAGAATGGTGATACCTGCAACACGCAAACACCCGTTGTCGGCCGGTGAGGGGCGAGACCGTCGGCGGGTCCTCAGCACCGATTCCAGGCCTACGATTAGTCTACACAGCACGGAATCTGACTGATGGTGGCGGCCATGCGTAACTGGTCAACTACTGATGAATGCCATTCCTCGGGGAAAACGAGCTGTCCGTAGCATCTGGTGCGATTCGCCATTTCATCTACGTGTCCGGTACACTTCTCGGGATAATGAAAGTGGCGTTCCTTGTGCTGAATAAACGAGGTGAAAAGTACCACCACGAGAGCCTGGCAAGCCATGAGTGCACCAGGCGTCGCTCAGGTTCAACAACAGCTGTGATCAGTACCTGGCCGGATTGGGATATGCACAGGCGAAACTGCTCGTATGCATGGGCCTTGAGAAACGCATGCTCTTTTGCCACCCAATCACATTTTGCTTGATCTGTCCCCGGTACACCTTTTCATGACCGTGCGTTCCTGAGCTGAAGTGTTATGCGTAAGCAACTATCAACAACTCCCGCTTTCATTGCCTGTTTTGTAGGAATGGTTCCGACTTTAATCCCCGGATTTAGTTTCGTTTTATATGGCAGGTTTTGATGGGCACCTGCCGACTTGCTCTATGTCAGCAGATGTATGCGGGTTTTCGTTTGGTTATTTCGGGAAGTCATGCACTCAATCGGGCAGGCTTGGAATCTAAGAAAACTTGTAAAAAGCGGTGACATCCGGATTCTGCAGTGTCACTGGCTGCTCCCAAGGTGCAAGCGTTAAAGGCTTTCGCAAACCATGCAAGCAAGTTGGGAGATCCAAAAATCGACGCAATCGTATAGAGCTGGCAGCACCAAAAACCTTCCGCGGGTGGATCGCTTCAAGCCTATATCAAAGTACGGCTTCGGAAGGGAGTGAAGCAATTATGCAGGGAAGCAGGAGGGAAGGGGGGCACTACGTCCACGGGCGGAGGAGAAGGCAGCGGCGGAGGGCTGGTGGCACACCTAAAGGCGGGCACTGCGAGTATGGTCCGTGAGGGCAATACAGCCAGGCGGAGGGAGGCAGCATACCTATGAGAGGCACTGCGTCACTGGTGTTTGGCATCATGGCAGCGACCAGGTTCAAGAACACGGTCAGAGAGAGCAGAATCGTCACCCCTGTAACAAGACGGGCTCGCATGGACCAGCTGGTGCGCCGCGCCGCGCCGCGGTCGGCGGCGCCGGTCCTGGAGCGCTCGGCCCGGGGCGGGGACGTCTAGTGTCGCACCGGGAGCAGGCGGGGCTGGTGAGCTCGGGGTGCTGTGTGTTGCATGGAGCTCGGTCGTGGTTGGCTAGCTTCAGCTGACGCTCACATAAACCTATCACAGCACAACACCGAGCGGAGACGGCATGCGGGAGGCCTACCTATAAGGGGCACTGCCTCTGAGGTTTCTGGCATCATTTCGGTGGTGATGTTTAGGAAGAACGTCAGAGAAAGCAGAATTGTCACCTCTGTCGGAAAACCAGAGATGTCGCCGTCATTCTGAGGAGCGCACAAGGTGACCATGCTGCGGCACTCTGCAGCACGAGACCCGACGACAGCCAGTCCAACACAACCAGAATCGAAAGCTGCTGAGGTTAAGGCTATGGTTCAACTCCGGCAGCGCCTACGTAAAAATGATGGGTGAAGCTCTTCAACTTTAAAGAAAAGTATGCATTCATTTACTATCATTACATCATCTATAGTCTACTATAACTAAGATATCTACAAACTGCAAAATTATCAAGGAAAATACGTAATAAGAAGCATTTTGCACAGTGCAAAAGTATGCCTACTTAATTCCCGCTTATACTTTAACGTAAACTCAACTGACAGAAAAAAGCTTTCGCGGACCTATCGCCAAAGAAACATAAGCTTTTGATCTTGCAATATTGCTCAGTTGGCACTCCTTAGTACCACTCAAACTCGTGCAAGCTGTTGAAACAATGATATCGTTTGACAAGTATTATGTTAATGCATAATTCAACGACACGAGTCTTCCTACTCTTAACCGACATGACACGAGCTTACATGAAATGTATCTCACGTGAAACAAACGAATCAAGCAGCAATGAGAAAAAAATGCGCAGCAACCTATTCTATTGGAAGTCGAATGTACTGAAATGTACTGAAGAAATTTGCATTTGAAATACAGATATAATGCAGCAGTCAAGCCAAATTGTCACACAGTTTCAATTTTAGCCTTTCATTGTGGACAGAGTAATCTACATTTATTCTAAATTCATGGGTTGTTCCCGACGGTGATGAGAATACGTTGGTCGGCCTCTATAGCTGTCGTCAGCGATGGCGAGGACAGCGCAACACGAAAACTAGCATGGAGCTTTAGAGCTTCCCTTTAACCGTCGGGCCATGCACACACGGACTTTTAATTAGTCGCAGCAGTGACTTCTCTATGTTTAATTCGGTGCAACTGAGCAAGCAGCAATTAGCGTGCTAAGATATTTAATGTTAGTGCAGATGGCTAGTTAGATCGCGATCAAAATACAGCTGCCGAGCCACCAAGCATTGAGGAACATCAGGTGAACTGCTGATGGCCGAGCACCTACAGTGATTGACAGCTGCGATTAGTGAGATTAGTCGGCACGCGCGCGGACTTCTGTCGAACTCGCTACATTGCTCAAAATCGACGAGATGTCGAACAGGCACCAGGTGGCCGGGCGTCTGGCGATGGCGTCCCATTGCTCATCACTGATTGGCACAGCCACCGATGGTGGTGAAAAGTGACCGGCTGTCTCTAAGTGCGCTGCTGGCGGCCTTGGCAATTGGAGCGTATGTCCACTGGCATGACCGCGTCAGCTGCTCTCTTACCACGGAAGAACAAAGACGCAAAGCGAGTTTTGCCGTAGCACGTTCAGCAGGCTCATGCGGTTGAGCTACAGGCGAGGTGCGTGGAGATGAAGCCGCAGACCAAACGGGCGAGCATGCGGTGATGCAGGTTAGTGGCCCAGTTGGCTTGTCATCATTGAGGCTTTTCAGTTTAGTTTATTGTGTTTCTCGACCTAGCGACTAAACACGTCAGCAGAAAGGTTTCTCAACTCTGCTTCCTTTTTTAAAGTTGTTCGATGTGAGTGTTAATTGAAGGGCTATCGCCACAGCCGACGTCAATTTGGCGTATATATACAAGACAGATCAATTGCGATGATATACAAATCAACGCAGGCACCATAATTGAGGACACGGAACAAAGTGTTTCTGTCACTAACACCTTGACAACGCTTCCGAAACGAGTCCCACGAGTCACCTAGTAGGAGCTTCTCCACTTCATAGGAGAAAGACAGGCCTTAAGGTCCTGCATTTTTGATATTATGAGTTCAAACATCTTATGTTGCGTTACCTTCCAAATGCCAGGAGGTAATGGTTAAGGCATTGCAATGCTGAGTAATGATTATATTGACGGCACACATTGTTTCGAGCCATGCTCATCCTAAAGAGTGACGCATCTCAAGAATGGCATAACAAAAGTGGCAAACACTTTTGCCGATGAGCGCATCTCGAAACATTGAGTATCGTTAATATAATCGTTATTAAACATTACACAGTCATTTACCCAGTGCCCTCTGGAATATTGGAGATCATGAACTCACTTTCAGCTCAAAGCATTTTCATCGACTATGGTGTATGCACTTCGGCTCCATCAGTCACGGTTAAAAAATACGTGGGTTACGGTCCGACATATGCTACATGCTGTTTCACAGCTGCAATTTGTATAACTGTGCAATATTCTCGCGTATGTTTGACCTATAGATGACCTGTATGTTGCAAAGGCGTTGCGAAGTTTACCTCCTACAATACGGCGGTCTTCCACAATATTCATTATTGGTTGTGCTATTTTTATCCAGCTGTACTGGATCCATGATGAAGCGGGACCGCTGCACATTTCTAGCACTGCACTGTCTACTTTTTACCACAAATGAGAACATTATCGGGACAGATAAGCGCAAGGTGCAAAACCTCAATGATACCAGCCGGTTATATTTGCCGCACGCCACATGCATGCATTTGGCGTCATCAGACAAATTTTACTCTCACACATGCTGATTACCGACAGACATCCAGGCCGTGCCATTTAGTTCAGCTATTTAGTGATGCCGAGATGTCCACCGTGTAGGGGAAAAGGCCGCCGAGAGCGGCTCCATACAAGGCAAGGACAATGTGATCATGGGGAGAAATGGAAGCTTTGGAGAACTATTGTTGCTCGTGACACGAAATATAGTGTCATGAGAAAAGGGTCGATGGTGCGCTCAGGCAATGTAAGTCGTGGAACAGTTTGGGCACTGCCAGAGGCCATTTTCTGAAAATGCTTTCAGCAGAAGCATGTTCCTGTCAACAGCAAGGCCCATAACATTGCAAGAAATGTGCGGCTTTGACGTGGTGAGGTGTTCTGTCGGGGCCAGGATGCGAACATGGAACACAAGTGATGTGAGCATCAACTGCTGGAGTAATCTCGTCCGACCATCAACCGCCTGCCCTTGTTAATGGGGGCAACAGAGTGAGCCTCCAGGAATCATTGCTTTGTGCTCGTAATCGGCTTCATTGCCACACGTATGGTGTAATTGAACGACATGTTTCTTGAATCGGTGCCATGGACATGAACGAGATTCCTCAAGCCAAATTTGCCGGGTAACTCTTCATGTTTGCTCAATTGTTTGCATTCACTCATGGTGTGTCGCCTGTGCATGCGTTTACATTGGGACGCCACAGGAATGCAGATGGGGCCGAGGTGTAGCGAGGTGTGTGGCGCACGTGCGTGGGAGGGTGCACGCGCTAACTCAGGTGTGGGGGCCTGCACTTGCGTGTGCGTGAATGTGTGCGTGTGTGTGTGTAGGTGTGCGTGAGTGTCACACCTACACTAGCGGCGGTGATTCGAGTCTCGTGGACGGGTCAGCGCGTGGGTGAGCGGGGCGTGAGTCAGACACGTGGTGACCTCTGGCGACCCCTACTCGGGTCATGTGAGCTGTGACAGGACTGGCGCACAGTGCGGTCCGTTGACCAATAGACAGACAGACAAACAGACACTGCACGGCGACCGAGCGGCGTTAGTGACAGGCACTGCAGAACAGGCTGTTTAGTCGCAGACGTCTCTGAGCACGGCTAGCCAGCACCCACTGTACTTGCGGCTAACAGACACCCAAACATCTTAGCAGCATACTAGGCCACTCACTCGGTGACCTTCAGTACAGAAAAGGAGCTCTGGGGCGATGGCGCTTGGGCAAGTCGAACTTCTGACTTTCAGGACTAGAAAATATTTCAGTGCTAGAAATAGGATGTTTTTAAATTGCCACTTAGCTTCTATCGTTTAACCATACATGTTAAACTTTATCATTTTTATTCGCTTTCTGCTTTCAGGAATTGAGAGTAATGACGAATAAGCACGTGATGAAGAAAAAAACGCTTCTGAAGCACTGTTCATCCTTTATTTTGATGGGCCTTTGGATTCCTTTATGAATGCCATTCCGTTGTATGTACTGTCATTCCTCAACTTTTCAAGTGCAAATCAGATTTAATACCAAATCAGGCCCTTGTCAATGCTCGCGTGAAAAGGCTTAGTTTGGCCTTTTTGTCGCAACCGGCTTAAGGCATTGGCTATGGCAACACAAACTCAATTGTGTCGGCTGCAATTTGCGTCAGGGAGCACGACGACCAGCGACTTGCAGTCGTTCACTTAGTAACCGCCGCTGCCAAATCTTTTCGTGTCCGGAATTGTGTGTAAAGCGGAGGAGACTAGTGACATGCTTCAGGTGAAGAAAAGGCCTGCGTCATCTCTGTGAATCGCCAACACACAAACGGACGCAGCTTGGAAATAAATAGCTACAGAACAGGTCTTTTGATCGGGTTCGGGATCGGGTTCGGATTCGGATCAGTGGTGCCGGGTTCATGTACGCAGGATTGCTAGTTTTATTCAGTGCTGATATTGCACAGACATGTTGCCAGTCGGGTAAGGAAGCCCTAACATCAACCAGCGCGGGAACCGCAAGCAGACATGCATGATATCGACCCGCGGCACACGCCGAAAGCATTTGAAACAGCTGACTGCGAAAGCTTTCAAACCCAGCACATCTGTCAGAAAACCTCAGGTGACATCGACATAACCTTTAACAAATCCCTGACGTGAGGAATACCTGTCGATGTCAGCCAAGACAGGGCATCAGTCATCTCCCTCGCTCTCCCCTCGTGGCTCCGAATCTCAGTCTAAACCAACGAGCACCAGTTCGGTAAAAACAACAGCCACGCCCGGCTGGGGAGTGAATCGACACGGTCCCTGGCAGCGCGACCGCCCGTGGAAACGGCGGTCGGTCGCGAGGTATCGGCAGTGGGAGCCGCAGCACCCGGCTCGACGGCCGCAGCATGGCGAGAGAGTGCAGTGGCGGGTGGGAGAGGATCGAGGCGACGGCGACTGAGGGACACCGGAGACATCCAGTGAGCATCGGGAGAGGTACAGGGAACGTGCGGGGGGTGGTGAACGGCAGGGAAAGGGACAGTGGTGCCAATATTTAAAAGGAAGGATGTTCAATGAGACTGACGAGTGTGGCGTGAGCTCGAGAAATGGACAATCGGCAGGGCAGGCAGGCGAGACTGGCAGAAAAGTTGGAAGCATGCGGTGTTAAGTTGCATAAATCACTGTTTATAGCGGGCCGTGTTTGCTCGTTGGTTCGAAGATGTGACTTCGTAGCACTTCCAAGCATGAGTCCCTAGCGCGTGTTCGCCAATCGTGCCCACTTTGTGTTATCTGTTAGCCAGACCGCCATTCCTATACTTGGAAGCACATCCGCCCAGCGCGCGTACTTCGGCGCGCGGCTTTCCAACAGCCAGCGCGCGCCATATGACCTCACCCCGTGACCCCGGCAGCAAAGTCGTGTCAGCACGGCCGCCGCCCGACCCAAGGCTAAGCTATGGGTCGCCGTGCCGGCCCGGCGCCGCCCTAATTAAGCGCACGCGCGGAGCGCGGCACCGGGTGAGCCGGCCGCCGGCGGCAGTGCACCCGCCCGTCGGCCCGCTCCGTCGGCGTCGGCAGCGCGGCCAGGTGGCCCGACGGTCGATGGGAGCGGCGGCAGCGGCACCGTCGCACAGGTCGTCAGCGTGTCCTGCCCTAACCCTGGGCCCACAACGCATTCAGACTGTCGTGGTGGGGACGGATTGAGGTGAAGGAAAGGATCTGAGAGGGTTCCGTCGAGCTGACTTTGTAGGTTAGAGGGCATTATTGCACAAAATAAATGGCTATGTTGTAAGCGTCACGGCATCTATAGTTCTGATCTATGCAAGATAAAAATAACTAACGTGATATGTGATCACTTATCGTATTATTGTCAGGCTGAGAGCCGCTGGCTTGTTTTCCACTGGGAGCTCTGGAGCCGTTTCATAAATCGTATGCCCTTCTGTTAGAGTAATTGCATTTGGCTCACATTGTCTTTGCATCCTCACGGGTTGCCTGCTACGGAGGTACCGAATAATAACACCTAAAATTGATGTCAATGTTTGTGCATGAGTATTAACACGCAACCAGGTGACCGGCTGGACACTCTTCGCTGTGGTGGGGATCAGTTTAACTCCCCTGAAATCTCAGGGTTTAAAAGAGCTACAGACGCAAAATTTCAAGGAGTGTTCGTCTGCACGTGACCACGACTTAGGTGAAATTTTGAAGCCCCTGGGTCATTACCTTCGGTTCAAATAAGGTAAAGCAAGGTCAAACTCCAGACTGGGTTCCAAAATGCCCCCAGGAACCTAGAAACACGCTCTAAAAAATATCACATGTTCATTAAAGGTCAGTGACCTAGGCTGACCCTTTCAAGGTTATTGTGTTAAAAATGAAAGACTGCTTTACGTTTTGCATTTGAGTAAGCAACATATATTACGCTAGGCAGTGTGTTCCTACAAACGCAGTGTTAACCTGGGTCAGGTCGGTGACCTTTTTTGACCTTTCAAGTCCATGGAAGATGTTCCTGTTATCAATCAATTAGAAATGAGTGCCAAAAATTATCCCATTCAGCAAGATCTAGAGTAATAAAACAGGTTGGTTTGACCTTGCTGTGACGTTCATACATGGCCCTACGTCAATGGAATTCGTTCATTCAATCGTTTTGTCGCCTAATAAAATATTTCAGAGATTATGGTTTGGTCGAACACTCCATTGTTGCGTTAGAATAAGCGATTCCCTGGAAATTGTCTTCGTTGAATCCCACGGCCTGATTTTGACCTGCTGTAAGTCAGCGACTTAATAAGGAACGTCCAAATTGATTGATATCAAACGATCCGCAGTTTAATTGTCTACAGCTATACAAAATTTGACGCGGCTACGCAGCGCCGTTCGGAAACCATTCCGGAAAAACCTTCGGGAGTCAAGTTTACCCCCACCCGAGCGTATGTTAATACAGTGCTGCTCTGCATTTTACATTCTTATTACATTTTTACACTACATCTTAAATTCCCAGCAATAAAGGCCAACGATGATTTCTTGTTTCAAAATTTTCAGTGTTCTTTTAAGAAAAAGTGAAAGGTGTTATTATTTGGCGGCCTTTAGGCGATGTGATGTAGCCGGGTCTTGACGCAGCATTTACAACTGGTGCACACATGAAGACCCATGGGCTCGGGATCGTTCGATATTTCCTCTTTATCAGATACCCTTATGACGCTTTTTGGCTCGGAGGATGTATTCCCACGATATCCGTGAGAGTAAATATTTTCTCAGAGCAAACATCTTCGGTCGCCGATGGATGCAGTGCTAAAGAAAACCTGAGCGTATTAATGCCATTTGCTTTGGGGGGCACGACGCCAAACTAACAGTTATGGCTTCAAACCATATTTGCTTGAGGCTGGCTGGCATTTGGTGCTCAAATTTTTGGGTTCGGGTTAAGGGTTCGGGTCTTTTCGGATCTTTTCGGGTTCGGGCTTTTACGATCCACGGGGGATATTTGCGTAACGCTGTTTTAATCGCCCTATTCCTTAAACCGAAACGTTTTAAGCCGTGTTGGTGGATTCTGCCGGGTTTGTAAGGCCAAAGGATGTACTGCTTGTCAGGTCTACTAAAATATTGTGACGACTCTGCTCTATTCCATCTACTGAACCAAATCATTCCTGGTGCCGTACGGACACTTCACAAGCAGGCACAGTTACATCCACGTTAACGCCGCTGGTCCCCAGAGCTCCTTTTCACGGGAATCTGCTGCGCTACAGCGCGACTCGAACTCAGGGCGTCTCAACGTGAACATCTGGCATCAGGCTGCAACTGTTATTTAGTGAGCGTGCGTTGGTGGGCCGCGGCGCGCGGCTTCGACCGACAGTGCATGGCAGCACGCGGCGGCCGAGATCCGGCAACGACGATCCAATAGCGGTGAAAGACGCGGCACCCCAACCCGCGGTCCGCCGTGCCTGACCTCTGCCCGGGTCGATGCCGAGGCACCGATGACGCGGCCGCTCGTGTCATTTACGGTACCCCGATCGGGGTTATTTTCGGTGCCGATATTGGGTGTATCTAGACACACTCGCTGCTCGAGATCCCTTGTTTGATGATCGGGCTCGAGCGCAGCCGGATCTGATCGGGCCGTGACGGGCCGCGGCTCGGCCCATTGGCCGCCGCCGTCCGCGCCTGCAGGCCCGTCTTTGAGGCGGCCGACTGTTGAATGGCGGCGGCCATCGATCCCTGCAGGATGGTGTGTCCACCCATCCCTCCTGAGCGCCGGTCGCGTCCGTTAGCCGGATCTCAGCCGCCGCCGGGGCCGACGCTGACGCCGCGGGGCGCGACGGGACGCCGCGCGGCCGAGCTGGGCCGATCGGGGGCCGCCGCGGGGGCCGCCGGACGGAGCCGAGTCTCAGGACAGGGCCGGTGCCGCTGGACGGCGCCGGAATCTCAGGACAGAACGCACCACAGAAAAGCGGTTCTGTCGGCGAACGGGGAGAGGCGTTTGCAAAGGGAGCGAGAGTGTGAGAGTGGATGAGAGAGAGAGAGAGAGAGAGAGAGAGAGAGAGAGAGAGAGAGAGAGAGAGAGAGAGAGAGAGAGAGAGAGAGAGAGAGAGAGAGAGAGAGAGAGAGAGAGAGAGGCGACGCAGAGGACATGAGAACAGAATGCCCTAACCGACGGAGCCGCCCGAGGCGCCGCCAGCATTGCCAGGCTATCTGGCATGCTGCTCAGGGCCTCCAATCTGCATGCTGTCGGTGCGGGCGAGCCCGGTGGCTTTGCTCGGCTTTGACGGGTGTCTGATTCGGCTCGCCTGCGGGCGCCCGGCTCCGCCTGAGCACTGGCGGCGCGCTCCAGAGGCGGCCCGTGTGACCCGAGGACTCCAGCTCGGTCTGCCGACCGTGGGACGGCGCGCCAAGGGCGTCAGCGTCGGCGGGGTTGTGCGCCGCACGGGTACGGAGAGACGGCACAGAGCGCGGGCCGCGGACCGACCGGCCACTTACCTAACGTCAACTTCTCCCCGGAGTCAGGCGGGAGAGTAAAGCCCAGGAGGGCCATGGAAGATATGAGGACACAAGGGATGATGAGGGTGGAGAAATAGTAAAGCGTTCTCCGTCGGATTTTGATGGTGAACGTGATGTCCACATATGGCGTAGGGCAGCAATCGTACACTTTGACGTTCCTCTTCCCCGGCAGACCTGAAACAAGAAAGCGCATGAGCATGATCAGCAGCACTGCTGGGAGTGCTTCTTGTCCTCCCATTCGCGGAAAATGAACGTTCCACTGCGTCTCGAAAGATATTGCAGCGGGATTTGTGTGCCAGCGCTCCGTGCGCGACATTTTGAGACCGCAAAGGCTCTGGCCGGTCATTGTTGGAGATGCATTCAACTCGTACTGTCTCAGAGGTTGAAAGAATTTGGAGACCGTAGTGGTTGTAGAGGCCATTTTATTTCACTGGCTGCCGACATGTTGACCTAAAACCAAATTCCGCTACGTCCCAAGGCAACACGTTTTGCGTCAGCTACATGTAACTAGCATCGCAGCACAAGTGATAAGAATTATGCTGTTTAAGATCACACCTTGGAAGCATTTAGGCACATATGTCAAGCTCATTTAAACTTGCAGTTCTTAAAACTTTTCGAGCAATAACAAATCGGCGAGTCCAGAGGGTTTAATCTCGTTTTCTTTTTACAGTGCGATACAAAACGTTACACGCTGTAGCTTCTCGTGAAATCAGCATCTGGCGTCTGCCACCAAGCTCACGGACAAGGACAAAGCTCTAGCCTGTTGTCCGCCGTTGAGAGTCACAGCTCGTCTCTAGCTCATCACTGATGATCAGATGCATCCAATTTAGTCGTTTCGTTCCCTCTGCTGAAATTTCCGCCCGACTTTGAGCTATATCGTAACCATCACTCACTGGCTGCCCAATTTGGTGATGATCGAGGTCTGGGGCTGGAAGCAGAACAGAATTCTAATTAGCTTATGGATCCCGACAGGCCATGCTGGAATGGTCGCAACCAGGGATATCCACAGCACTTAAGTTACGAGAAGCGGTCATCTCGCATCCGATGTGCCGGAATTTTCATAGAACAAGGCAGAGCCGACACGCAGCATGCGGCGTGTAATTTAGAATTAAGACTTCTAGCTCATCCCATGCATTTGATCGGATTAACCCATCCATGGGTAATTTATCTCAGTGTCCGCTAAAGAACCACGCCTAAAACTCATTTTGCCATGGACCCCCGCTCGCCGTGGCCGGCAGCATCATCTGCCGCGCGTGATCATAGTGCAGACGGGTGGGCTAGCCGCAGCAGAAGCCGGATCCTCCGCAACAGTGAACACTACCGGCCTTCAAACCAGCACGCAACAGCTCCCTACAACGCCCGCTGCCGCGCCCCGGGCCGAGCGCGGTCCCCGTCCCAGCGCGAGGTGTGCCGGGTCCAGCGGCCCGGGCCCTGCCCCGCCGGCGGGGGCCATCGTCTGTCAGGGGGCCACCTCCTCGCAGGAGGACGTGTCGCGCCCGCCGGCGCCCTGGCGCCCGACGCCGCCGCCGGCCGGGTTGTCAGGCGCCTATCGATTGGAGGGCTCTGTCGTCGGAGCGAGGCGGCATGCTGGCTATGTTAATGACAGCGGCGTGATTGCCGCCGAGTCGGTGCCTCCCCAGAACTGGCCTGCATATGTATGGACCGGCGGAGGAAGACGGCGCACGGTTGGGCGCGCTCATGCAGCCGTGACGCATCCGTTTCAAGCAGAACGGGCGGGAATAAGTTAGAGTAGGAGAAATAAAATGGTGACACTGGAGAAAACAAGAAAGCGGTGCTCGTACTTTGTGACGAAATTCCAGACATGTGATGCCGACAGTGCTTGCAGCGATGCTGGATCCACCCACGACCACAAAAATTGTTCTTTTGTGTCTCACATTGGAGGCCAGTTCGGCAAATCGCACCTAGCTCGGCCGACCCGCACCACACATCATGGCCTGCCTCCGACTGCAATATTGACGAGCCGGCGACCGAGCGCACCTGCGGGGCGGCCGGTACGCGACCCGGGGGACGGCACGCGGCCGGACGACGCCGACTTAGATTTAGCGTCGGCCGGGCGGCGGCCGGACCTCGTCACGCCTAATGCACGAGCATGGTCCGCCACCGGACAGCAGCTGCAGGCCCAGCGTCGTCACACCTGAGGCACGAGCGCGTCCCGCGTCCGGACAGCACCTGCGACCGAGCCTGCCAGCTGCCGCCGCAAAAAACGACCGGTCGCGCTCATGCATCACTGGAGGGTTGGCGCGGCTTGCGCTATCCGGCCATCAGGAGAAGCTAGCCGGGGAGGATGGGCCACGGCCGGACCGGCGGATCGTGTCGCCAGAAATCCACGTCTGGTATGGGTAACGGAAGGAAGAGAAGATGGAGGCTTATCTACGCGTGTTAATGTAACTAGTGGAAGTGAAGTGTACACGGAAAGAATTTCACAGCTGACATGTTTCGCAGGACATCTGTATTGATTTTTCGCATCACCCAATGAGTCCTTAGATACAGCTGAAGACCGGCTTCTCGTATTTCGGTATTATTAATGCAAAGCCATTATAATGAGTTAGTATCCGTCAGCACACCGGAAGATACTGCTTAAGCGTTGTAATGCTGAATACAGATCATATCGACGCTACTAAATATTTCACGCTGCGCTCATCGTCAAGAGTGAGCACTTTCAAACACAACCTAACAACAAATCAACATAAGAGCTCTCAAAAAAGTCCTTTCAAGTGATAATGCCCTTACTTCTTGCTTGTTCAGTCTCCAAAGTTACTCGATTGGGTGAAGCTGAGAGAGGGCGAGGTGGTGGGGCACATCACATTCAAATCATGTGTAACAGGCACTCGGAAGCTTCCCCCGGAAGACGTAGCACTTTCCTGGTACATTGGACGCGTGTGAGATCCGTCGAGAAAACCAGCCACGTTTAAGGTGATTTTCCTCGCGGAATAGAATAAGGATGACACGTTAACAGTTCTCCCGGTAAACTTTTCTGCACACATTTCTCTTGCTTGATAGGGTAACTAGTAGAGTTAATCCCCTTGGGCTCACTGCGATCCACACGAGAAGTTTTCGCGGAAACTTAGATTCGGCCCGGAACTTGACGTGCGATAGAGTATCGCCATCAGCCGGGACACAAAAGTCGGGATTGTAATCGATCTGGCTCTCAACATACTTAAAGAAGGACTCATCGCCATATGCAATAACGCGTGCATACGCAGTAAACATGTGCAACGTACCACAGTTGGGCTGATCAACATCGGGCTGAGCTCCACATTTCGTGCAAGCAAAACCGCGTTCGGATCATTTTACATGGTATCATATGTGCGTGAGGTGGAGGCGGGACATTCCTGCGACGGTCGAATGAAAGTGAAGAGCTCCATTCACAGGAGGTGAGAGAGGGGAGTTTCAGCCATCACGTCAGAGCTGGACGCAAGTGCGAGTCCGAGGCCGGCGGAAGCGGGAGGGTGGGGGGGGGGGGGGGGGGGGGGTTCCGGTGACAGCGGACAGCAGCGGCAGTTCCAGAGCAAAGAGCGAGATATCGGCTGTCAGATCAGCTGCCCCTTCACCCTTCCACCTCGGACGGCGCGCACCGTCTGGGTGCGGCCGTGCGCACGACTCTGGACGGGCGTCATCAGACCGCCCCGGGGGGCCAGAGTCGTCAGCTGCCGGCCGCGCAGCGCCAATTAACAGCGATGGCGTCGGAGCGGAGAGCAGCGCTGGGTGGGCCTATATCACATGCCAAGACAATGGAGACCAAACGACGGGCGAGACGGGTACCGCTGGGTCAGGTCTGACGGGACATCGTGTGTTGTCAAAGGGGTGACCAAAACATAGGCAAAGCATTTATGACCTGCCAGAACGGTGGGAAAGTGCGGTCTCAAAAACGTCCTGCTATATTGTACCACTTATTGGACGAAGAGACACGATTCCACGTGGTAAACTATTAAGCTATAGTCGAATTTCGTTGCGCTAACTTTGGTCATGATCGTTTGTGGGTGTGACGTATGGAGACAGTAAACTCAGTTGTATGGTGGGGTAACGCAGTTGTATAGGAATTGAGCAATGTCCAAACAATTCCCACTGACATTCTTAAATCCCAGCTGGCAGTGTCATTTCTGAGCCCCAATATGGGGTTCCATAACGTGTTTTTGCAAAGAATCGACAGCGAGCTTAGTGCTGAGCTCCTCCAAATGCGCGGGCACCGCGGAAATCGAGTTTAGAACACGCCGGGGCATTTTAAATGGCGCAGCTGGGACAAGGCTTGGAACATCTAGGAGAGCTGACAGGCAAGATGAACTCATAAAAACGATGGCTTGTGGTCAGCGAAACTTATCTCTGCGTTTTGGAAACGGCTACTGATACACGTGTCTTTAAAGTTAACTTAGTTCGGCATCATTTCTGTTTTTTCCGTGCTACGAAACACGTTGAGCACGTTGGTCGTTGCCTTCATCTGCCATGCCTTGCCCGAGCGCCGCGCTGTACAAGAAACGGCAGCAGCTGTCTCCTCAAGTAAACACTGGCACTCTGCCATCCGCTTCATTATGCATGTAGTTAAATATCCAGTCAGCTGCGACCCAAGCTACATAGATGCACCGCCAGCACAGTTGATGCTACTTGACATTTGCATTTCTGTGATTATTATTCTTCACCAGTTCTCCTAACAAGCCGTTTAAACAAATTATGTGTGCGAGTGCTTTAACTAACTCTAAAAGCGGAGATGACGATGGCTTGGAGTTTAGGGCATGTCGATGGCAAATGATCATGCAGCGCTCATTCTAAAATAAAAGAGAATCGGCCCGAACTGTGAGCGGTCTTAACACCCACACGTCGAACATCATTCCTGAGTCCCTGTTTCAGGTATCGCGCAGAGCTGCAAAGCTTTTAACCCAATGTTCTTGGTACGTCAAGACATAAGCCAGCAAGCTGTCTGTCCCAGCTCATCGCCAGAATGGAGATGCCAACGTCCACAGCAGCACGCACTGGATGCGGATGATCTTTAGATTCCGTAATGGGGTTCCCGAAACGGCGTTTTGTCACGCCAGGTGCGCGGTCAGAACGCGGCGAGCCGACGCCGTCAGCTCAGGGACGGAGTTATGCTGCGCCGTTGACAGCGATGACGTGCGGTACAGCCTATGCCTTCAGGTGGACTTTGTTGCGTTTCGGGCCGTCATCCTTTTGAGGTATAATACCGGCACCGCCTGGGAGTAAAACATGGGCAACGAGATCCATCAATTTACAACAGCTATCGGCACCAAACCAGTATTTTTCACCCGCTGTCGTTTTTAGAGGGAGCAAGGTGGCGCATTGTGCACCGCAAGACGGAACGTATCACGGGGTGATGGGCTTAGAGAATATGAAGCTCGACAAAAGCATAGCAAGTAAGAATGATTTTTTATAAACTTTAACAGATACCGTATGAAAAGGTTAAAAATGTTGGGCAAAAGATGTGCCTAGAAGCCATGCATCTTGACTTTACTTAGCGTGAACCCTCAGCCGCAAGCTACCTTTTAGAGCAAGAATGCGGCGGAATGCAGCGTTGCAACTGAAAACAGGCACACCAATTTTTGGAGAGATTGAATTTAGATATTTCTGTGGGCTGTACAAGTGCGAGATCACATATATGTGGTATGTGTGGGTGACTGAGACGCTAAAAACAGATGTGATGACTCACTGCGTACAAGCGGCTTTGGATTAGTCTTTCTCGGTGGGATGTAGAGTGTTACTGCCAGATGTATACGGCTAAGCGAGAACATTGTTTGGTCCAGTGTTTTTATCAGCAATCACTTCCCATGAAGTGCAAAGTACCTTTTGCTTTCACTGTCTTTTTATGCGTTTCAAGGTGAAAGACTGAAGTGATACAGACAGCACACAAAAAAACACCGGCGTTATCTGTGGTGCATGAATTTGGAATTTAATACATTTCTTTATCATGCTCTCGATAAAATGTTTAAACTTATATATGTGTGACTGCATGCAATCAAACAGCTGCATACTGTTACTTTGATCATATTATTTGGGCAGTAGGCCACAATCGCTAATTAAGATTACATGGTGGGTAGGGGCTGAGGGGTTCAGTTCCGTTTAGTTACCAATTCAGCTCAGTTCCTCTTACGGCTGCGCAACATGCCTACGGCAAAACAATTAGCAACAGGGTAATGCACATCGTATTAAAACCGTCTGTAACTGTTTTAATCATTTATGTCAGCAGGACAGGACAACTCGTCGGTCATCAAGGCTGCACATCCAGGGGAATAGCTTTGAACAATTATCAAATAACTTGGAATTTGTGCGGCCTGGAAGCTGGACAAAAGTTTCCTGAAAATCGTTGTCATCTTTTTGTCTCTGCGAGTCTGCTCATTTTGCCCTCAACATATCCGGTTGCTTTCCCACTGATTAAAATTATGCAAGATGTTGTAAGGGCTTGAAGATTATTGGCTGTGAGTTCCTGAGAGAACATTTCAGAATCTTGCTTGCTCGTAAATTATGACACCATATCTTCCCTGACAGCAACGCCATTTGCTTGCATTTCACACATCTAATCATACCTTTACGCAGTTGCGTCACGTCTATGTGACTTCATACAAAGTCAGTGAGTCCGTGATGCCTTTCTACAATACAGAAGTTTTGCTTGCATTCTTACACCATGAGAAACATTTTCGAATGGAGCAGCCCGATGGTTGCACGAAATATCCCGGCTGCACTCTGGATGATTGAAAGCATTGTATCTTTTAAATGGAGCTATTATGACATTTTAGCTGACCTCTGTTAACCTCGGTTTCTCTTAACAATGTCATCACTTGGGGTAGTGTACAAGCTTCATAAAAGTGTGGGTATTTTCCCAAAGTCAGTAAAAGAAAATGATCATGTTTGGTATTATAGCAACTATTTGCAAACTGCTTCTTGCTGCATAAAATTCCCTGATCATCATGTTATAATTCCACACACAGTTAAGAGCGCCAATGCAGCACAACAAAACCTCAGTTTACAATACAGCCAGTCTTTTTATTCACATTGAATATCAATCCTGACTCATCATTACTGATTACAATATGCACTCATTCTTTATTGTTTGGGATTCAGTTAACACCAGGCGCAGCTTTTCAACTCACAATCGCACTATCTTGCAATAAATTCAGAAGCAAGCGCATTGCCTTGAGATGGCTCTGCTGGCACAGTATTATTTCCCTTCGTATTTAGAACCATTTCCATTGTATTGACATGTGTGCATATCTAAGTTTGAGGAGGCGGTAAATTGTATTGTACATGCAAAATTGGAGCGGCCACATGTTGATAAAGTTATGCATAGCCTGCCTCCTGATGGTTATGCCATGACTGGCATTGTGTTGCATTGGCAATCACTACGTCTACATATCCAGATGCAGTCATGTGCACGGTAACGCATGTATGTAAAAAATGTTCTCACCACAATAGATCAGGAAGAACATACAAAATGTACAACCCGGCACCAATCAAACTGTGAAAAGCTGTGGGTGGGTGGCGTTTTTATCTGCTGTCAAATATCTTCTCTTTTTACAACTTTGGCACAGTCCCTCGACGCGAATCGTCTCAAATGACGTGTTGTTACGACTCAATGCACTCGGTGTTTACTTTTTGATGGCGTCGTTTCTTGACTCGGTTTCGATTTTGCCTACATTGTTCTTAAAAGAATGATCTCTGGTGTCTGACGATCGAGCAGGTTTTACGATGATCTTTGGGAGGACTCTCTGGAGTCCAGAAAGATTGAAATCAGGGTGCGCTTCTGATATTCCCAAAAAGTTGCGGAAATAAGACAACGTTCATATTTTCTGATATTATCCATGGCTGTTTTCTATCCTTATGCGTGTTTTAGCAGACATCTGGCGGACTGTGGCCATTTGGAATTGCATTTGTGGCCTATGCAAGGGGCTTAGCACATGGGTACGCATATGGGCATTCACGACACGCAAGCGGACCTTGATTTCAATGTAGACTTGGTAAATATCTTCCTTAGACAGCAGTTGTGGAAGTTCAAACACCAGAATGTGGGTGTTAATGGCAAAGCTCTTTATTGTCTTAAGCTAACTGGGCGATGCAATGGAACAAATAACTTCCCTTCAAATATGCTACCAGCACTGATTTTAGCAATCAGTATTCAAAAACACATGAAAATGAGCCATTCAGGCTAAATCGAGCTCATCGGCATCCACTTAAGAAGTGAGGCTTATTTTGAGCGTTGAACTGATAAAGATCAGTGAGCGCAGTAGAGTCGTAGCTCGACGTCAAGTACGTGAGTTTGTATTATCGAGAGAGTCAGGACGAAGCGATACAGGAATTTTAGCAATATGTTCTTTATTTCTAACGCATGCCTTGTGGGTGGCAGGAAACAGTGTGCGAAATCAAATAGCATTGCTCACACCCGTGGACAGCCGTGGCTGGACCCAGAGGCTCGAAAATGCAAACATATCTCTAATTAGGAATTCACCCGACAATTACGTTTGTTTTTGTTTTTGCTGAAGCGCCGTGCTCTGGTCTTACCTAGGAGATCCCACTCGCCGTTGCTGATAAACGTTGATGTGTCGCCTTCTTTTTCTTTCAGAACTAGGTCCAGCTGAAAAAGGAAAATCACGTTGAATTGATATCTAAGGCGACTTATCGCAAGGTGACGACACACTTGCAAACAACACAAATGCAAACCGTTCCACGAAAACTTCCTACAGTGTGCGAGTTATTACGTAGACACGAGAGTCACCAATCACTTCGATAACTCGGCGGATTTCGGGCTCCATGCCCTCATCCAAGATCATAACGCATATTTACTCTGCAGCGTCTCATGTTATGTCACACACCATGCAAATGCTGCATTATTCATGGAAACGAGAGTTAGGGTTGTTGTAAGGGCTGCCAATTGCAGGCCGGGGCAATTATTGCATGCGGCAAAGGCGAGCCCGTGGTGATTTATCGTCGCCGGTGTTCGTAACAGGCGACCTATACAGCAGGAACAGCGAAAATGTGAAGCGGCCGCCACAGACGCCAGTGGGCAACACGGCCCACGCGAAAACATGACTGATGGCTAACATTGTTAGCCCCGTCTTTCGGGCAGCTGACACAACAAACACGGACGGTGGGAACCATAGAGAGGCGATAACAGTGTGGGTAATAAGGGTTAAGCCGGTCGTTGGTTTGCTTTACGTTGACGTAAATCACGTCCGGTAATTTCGCAAACGGAGTCTTGAATCTCTTCGTTATCGAATATGTCATGACTTCCTAACAACGTACAAGTACTCTGATCAGCGATCTTCCTTACAATCCCCGGCTGAGCATTTGATTATTTTTTAAAAGCTTCGTTGGAATAACATGTCCCCTATCTGGTCAGGATGATAACTTTCACGATATTGTTCAGTTTTTGGGAGGCTCCTGTGGGACTTGATTGCCTAGTATGTGACCTTCACTGGGTAATTCGAGAATTGCTACAGTGAAGAATATCATGAGCTGTGTTGTCCAAAACATTTCCAACAAATCAACTACCTAACATTGCCAGCGATGTCTGCGATACACATGCAACATAAGACATGGACAAAGGCTGTGGCAGCCTGCGGGTCACTAAAACATCAAAATTCAACTCGGCCAGGACGAAATAAACAACTGCTTTTCAACACGAATATTATTCGCGTCTCGTCCAATTCTATTGACCCAGCGAGCCCACACGCTCGTCGGCGCCTCCACACGAGATGCGGGTCGAGCCCTAGCGTCCTTCACCTCCTAACCGACGGCGGCGGCTGATCGAGCTCACAAAAAGCCCCCCTCCCATACCACCGTGCAGGCGCCGCAGGACGCTACCGTTGAGCTGGGGCGGTCGTCCGGCTGGACGCCGCACGAGCTACAGCGCCGCATTACCAGACCGTTCCGTCGGCGTCGACGCAAAGAAATAGACATTTAACGTCGACGTGAGTCCAGGACGGCGGCTGGAATGGCGGCGGGCGGTGGCGCGGTCGGGCGAGAGTGCGCCGGCCGGCTCGGACGCCGCGCCTCCCAGCTAAGTGACGGACGACGTCTGAAAGGCCAGGCGGGATCTGAAACTGCAGCCGCGCACTCCACCTGCATTGCGTCGTCTTCAGCGCGCTGCTGAAACGCAAGCCCATTAGCTCGGCCGTCAGATGGGATTACGGCTGCATGAGATCGACTGGAGCGTGAGCGGGCAGGGGACAGTGCGGACGCCGGTCAGCTCACACAAAGCTGCATAATCATGGCTTCTCGAACCTCTGCTGGCTTGCCATCGATCGGTGGAAATCTACAACGATTTGGTTCTTAGCGGATTCGCGGAACACAAGAGGGCGCATTATCCTTCACGACAAACGGGACCCTTCTACCCGCAAAGAGCGCGACGATCGCAAATTGACTCATCGCTCCACCGCCGCAGCCTGCGTCTCTTTGTTCCACCCGCTGCGCGCCCGGCCCCCTTCAGACCTCCGGCCTCCCTTCAGTGGTCGGTCTCTGGACTGGGGCGCTGGAGGAGGCTTCCGCCCGCGTACCGCCTGGCATCGTCGCGCCTTGTCCGCTCTCGCGTCCGTGCCGTCACCGCGACTCAAATCAGAGCCGTTTCGATGGCGTGCTGACGGAGGCGTGGGAACAATACGGCCGCCTGTCGCGCGCGCGGCCGCTGCCAGCCGGCCCCGGTATTGATCGCTGTGTGCCGACCGCGCCGCGGTCGCGGGCGCATTGCAAAAGTTCCGTCCCGATGTCGGCGACGGCGGGCCCGCGGCCATCCGGGCCGGGTGGTGACGCCGCGGCGCCGGTCTGAGGAAGCCACCCGCTGACGTCACTCGGCTGAGATACAGACCCCCCCCCCCCCCCAGCGCAGCGCGTGGGCCGATCGGATGGGCACGGTAGCGCCGCAGCGTGGCTGTAGGTCTGTGGGCGTTACTGGGTGCCAGCGTCGTGTGAGCTGTAGCCGTTGACGTCCCCAAAGTTACCAAGGTGAACTCGCGGGGCCACCCACAGCAAACATTTATTTTCTACGATCCCTCGTTTCAATCCTTTAACAACTATGCTAGTGATGGGCGCATTTTGCCGTTACCCTTAGATCCATTTCGAAGTTGTTTAATATTGGATGCAAAGTTGCGCCAAATTTGAGGAAACATTTAATCCGCAAAAATTTTGAATGCCTAAATGTCGAAAATATTCACATAGCTAAGGCAGTAATATTAGCCTTATTCCTCGGAAGAAAAACCAGGAGGACGAGGATATAGTTGGGTGGAAAAGTCGGCAACATGCCTTTATCGAGACAATAGCAGAGGTGAAGCACATTGTGATGAAGTGTCAGCGGATGATAATGATCTTCACTTCTGCTATTGTTTCGATAAGGGCATGTTGCCGAAATATCAACCCAGCTATATCTTCATTCTTCTGGTTTTTCTCCTAGGAATAAGGCTAGTACTACTGTCTTAACTTGCATAATTGTCGTAAATTCCAGGAATGAATGATTTTGCAAGCACGATGAATACACAATAAGGCTGTTTTCCATTCTGTCTAGCAGTCTATTTTAATCAAACAGCCATTATATGAGAAAGCTTACCGCAGAAAGTACTATTACAGGACGCCGTGTTTTACCACGGCCGCCAGGATACAAATAGCTCCATATATCACACATAAGTGCAGACGCCAGAGATGTTTGGGGTAATTTAAAGCAAAAAACATTCTGGAAACAACCGATGATAAATCATTCGTCGCCTCACAATGGCCAAACAACGTGCTCTATCTATTGACCCTTTCAATAAATGCGCTATCGGCTAATGTTGAGTTTTAAACATGGTAATAGGCTTCTGACGACAACATCGCTTATGCTATGGATAATTACCTCATCAATGTTTCAGGGATTTGTTGGTGAGTGCTGTTATACTGCATGCATGCAACTAATTGCACGTTATAAGTTAAGGAGCGACAAAAATCAGACTAAAGCTAGTTTACTGACTGAATCAAATTCACCCTCGATGACAAGCTGTCAATTTTTTGCGGTATCGACATCGGTAGGGCTAATCTAGACCAACTCTGGCTACCAGATAAGAGTGTCACTCCTTTGCGAGCCTTAAATTCCCCTTCATCGAGCATGTTCGTTTCAAAGTCGTTGTTACCCAGTGCAGCAAGGCGAAATATGCAAGTTCCTTCTACAAACAGCAGCAGGAAACAAGGACTACTGACTAAAAAGAATAACAAAAAACTGCAAACTTTGTTTAAATGGGGCATCCTTCCCCAGACATCCGTTGGAAGTATTTAAATGTTCACTTGTGGTGTAAGTTTACCCGGCCAGTACCAGGCCTTTCTTTGTACCAAAGCATGCATTTCAGTATTGGAATGATGAATTTTGTCCACACTCCGGCCTCGTCCAGTCCTCAACAGACCCCGGCCCCCGTCCAGTCCTCACCAGACCCCGGTCCCCGTCCAGTCCTCACAAGACCCCGGTCCCCGTCCAGTCCTCACAAGACCCCGGTCCCCGTCCAGTCCTCACAAGACCCCGGTCCCCGTCCAGTCCTCACAAGACCCCGGTCCCCGTCCAGTCCTCACAAGATCCCGGTCCCCGTCCAGTCCTCACCAGACCCCGGTCCCCGTCCAGTCCTCACAAGACTCCGGTCCCCGTCCGGTCCTCACAAGACCCTGGTCCCCGTCCAGTCCTCACCAGATCCCGGTCCCCGTCCAGTCCTCACCAGACCCCGGTCCCCGTCCAGTCCTCACAAGACCCCGGTCCCCGTCCGGTCCTCACAAGACCCTGGTCCCCGTCCAGTCCTCACCAGACCCCGGTCCCCGTCCGGTCCTCACAAGACCCTGGTCCCCGTCCAGTCCTCACAAGACCCTGGTCCCCGTCCAGTCCTCACCAGACTCCGGTCACCGTCCGGCGGCCACCGCGTTCTGTCCACCGTGCTCCACTCCCGCCAAGCGTGAGGCGGTACCCACTTGTTGAGGGAGTCGACAGCCAAGTAGGCCATTCTAGAGTCGACATGGAAGGGAACTGGCGTCCGATGAGGGTCGTACGGACGGACCCGGCTATGGTGGACTGTAATGGACGCTGCCGGGCTCTAGTGGAGTTTGGACGGTGTCTGATGAGAAGTGGACGGGGACTGGAGTCTGGGGAAGACTGGACGGGGGCCAGAGTCTTGTGAGAACTGGACAGGGTCGCGCTTTGAAGAAGACTAGACGGGGGCCGGAGTCTGGTGAGGACTGAACGAGGGCTGGAATCAGATGAGGACTGGACAGGGGCTGGCTAGTGCAGATTGGACGGGATGGCCTAGGACGCCAGCGGCTTGCCTGAATTTAATTTCAGTTGGCTTGCAATAAAGAAAGTTAGCTTACATACTCTTCTAAAGGATGTATTTATGACTTAACTTTAGGCTACTTTCCATTGAGCCGTATCCCGTCTTCCTAGCCTAGCCAGTCTAAGAGTTGATATCCAGTCTACCTGTGACAGACACCTCGCCTATCTAGCTGTTGGGCAGGAGACTGTCACGCGGGTCGTCTTTGACCCGACTGCCCATCTCATCCAAACGAGACTGCCGACCACGCCCTGCTCAGCGACAAGACTCACAGCTCACCGCGGCAATCGCGGGTCTCACCATAACTGGGTTACGGTCGGACATGGCAGTGTCGTGGCCCTGCAGGCGTCGGAGTCTGGCAGCAACTGCCAGGCCGCCCGCCTTAAGCCGGCGCATCTGCACAATTGGCAGGTGCGACAAATGATCAGCGAATCTGCTTCATGATCGGCAGGTAGGACAGACGACCGGCAAATATGCCTGATGATCGGCAGGTGTGACAAACGACCGGCAAATATGCCTGATGATCGGCAGGTGCGACAGACGACCAACGAATATGCCTGATGAACGGCAGGTGCGACAGAGGACCGGCAAATATGCCTGATGATCGGCAGGTGCGACAGACGACCGGCGAATATGCCTGATGATCGGCAGGTGCGACAGAAGACGGCAGTCCACCTGACGATCGGCAGGTATGACAGATTACCAGCGAATCTGCCTGATGACCGGCAGGTACGACAGACGACCAGCGAATCTTCCTGATGACCGGCAGGTACGACAGACGACCAGCGAATCTGCCTGATGACCGGCAGGTACGACAGACGACCAGCGAATCTGCCTGATGACCGGCAGGTACGACAGACGACCAGCGAATCTGCCTGATGACCGGCAGGTACGACAGACGACCAGCGAATCTGGCTGATGACCGGCAGGTACAACAGACGACCAGCGAATCTGCCTGATGACCGGCAGGTACGACAGACGACCAGCAGTCCACCTGCCGATCGTTAGTCCCATTTGGTAACCGGCAGCTCTGCAGGATGAAGCTTCTCCACAAAGACCAGAGTCGCCGCCAAACAAACACCGCGTTCTCCTGCGCCACGGCGGGGTGGGGCAGCCTGCCCTGCGACCGCAGGCGGCGCTGCCACTGACCTGCCAGCCGTCGTACGTCCAGGAGCCGAACTTCATGTCGCAGCGCTGCTCGTCGAACGGGAACCACGTTATGTCTATTTTGCAGGTGGACTTGAATATCCCAGGAGGTACAAACAGGCAGCTGCCGTTGTGGTCCACCACGACGTTCGTGGGATATGTGCCATCGAACTTCTCATCAGCACTGAAAATGAGAACGAGAGTTACCCGTGTGCTGGCATCAGAATTTGATCTGGGAAAAACGCTTTAGCGGCAAAAATAAAATAACTTGTGCGCAGCACAGCTGTAGCGCACGGCGTAATTAGCGGTTAAAGGCAGCGTGTTATTTTCATGTGCCACAGACACAAATGCCACACGCTTTGCGCGGACATGCCATGCTAATCCGATTTGCCATCGGCCATTTCACTAAAAGGCAGGGATATCATATCAGCTGGCGAGCACGGTTGTCTAACGCGCAAAACTGCCTTTTCCCGCAGATAAGACGCAGCGTTGGAATAGTTGACATGCGATCCGTGGCATGCGATCCGCTTGCAAGAACCAGCGCCACAACGTCGGCGGCAGGTGGATCGGTTCAAAAACGGGTCGTGTGATGGATATGGACAAAACATGGACAAATGGACAAATGGACAAAACGCAACGTCCCAGTGCAGCTGCTAATCGGATTCTAGAGCAGAATGAAAACATTAATTAGACGGTTGTTTGGATGATGGTAGAGGTAAAGAACAAATAACAAGTTCTTTCAAATCTGCCTTAAATACCGCTTAAAGAGATTCATCGGTCTTAATAAGATTTTGTCTTCAAAATGATGGCCTTTCACCCTATTGTTCTAGAATTTGGCTCTAAAGAGGAAAAGGCTGTCTTTTTTAAAAGCAGCTTTTAAGGCTAAGAAATGTCAATGAACGGAAAATGACAACTTTTGCACCTTTTCTTCGATTTACAGTGCCGGGAGGGAATGTACAGAAGCATTGTCATGATGAGGGTAACAGTAAAGTGTGTTGTCCATGTAAACACTGAAATTTTTGAGGAAACATTGCAGCGCATGGAGTGATATGCTGCCAACTGAATGCAACTACATGCATGAGACGGAAAGGTAGCGACGTTCTGCGTATGTTGCTAAGCAATGATTATGCAGTGTCGGTCCAGATGAGAGTTCAGCATCACAACTGTGTGTGCAATGTTACGTGTAATTACAATGGTAACAGAAATGGAGTGAGTAGTTTGATAAGCTGGCCGAAAAATTGACGATTACCTTACAGATTGTACAAGACCGCCGGTGTGTATTCGCTTGGCAAACGCAGTTATTCATGCCTATCATATTCCATCACTAAGACTGCGATGGGAACTCACCTGTTATACATTAGAACGTCTGGCTTCCATAAATACTTGGGGTGGATATGGAGGTCATGCACACCGCCGTGGTCCTCTGGATCCCATTGTAGGTTGTAGTCCATCCATTCCTGACGATCATGGGGTCATAGCAGGGGCAATAGAGAAGACACAGCGGGCCTTCCTGCGATAAAATTCCAAACTTCCCTCACGTTGAGGTCACACCAACACTTGTAAGGGTAAATTAGTGTTTTAGATCGGAGTCACAGATAAGAAAACGAGCGAGAATAATTGGTAATTGAGATAAATTATACCAGTAAAAGAGAATAACACAGGGTCAAAATAACACTCTCAGTGATGCTGTAAGGTATTGTCACATAAGGTTAGAACATTTCGGACAGATTACGGAAGAGCCAACAAATAAAACAAGCAAAAGCATCCACGTTGTAGACACTAATCATGCACATGATACTGGCGAACGCCGCCCATGGAGGCGTATGTTATCAGGCATTCGGAATTGACAAGGCAGCGATACATATGTACAAAACTCCAGCTTGTGTTCAGTGCGCAGTTTACAACAATTAACTAAATGCCATTGTCAACAGAACAAATAATGGACGGCTTGCTGTTGCTTTTCACAGTTAAGCACACCACATGTGGGTATTTAAGGAGCATTATTTGGAATTTGCCTTCAGTTTTCAAGCATCATCAATATTTAGAACTTTGCTTTTCATGAACTGGGAAATCCCCATACGCTTATTTAGCTGGCATTCCGTGGGTTATAGGGTGCAAATATGCTGTTGAAAATCCCCGTCGCTCTGCCGTTTGCAAAAAGATCACTTTGCTCATGTTTCTACTGCATTTGCACAATTACCCTTTTACCGAAAACGTTTCAGCTGTAAAACATCAGGCATTCCCATGCGTGTTTGTGTGAATACGGTGAGAACATGTCCTCGAAAACTCGCTGGTTCAGATGGATATCTTCCTTAGTCGTTTCACCCTGCCGTTAAATGTGCACATCTCTACGCAATCAGCTGCGGCGTAAACAGGGCTCAACAAAATATGCCACCTTTTTGACACGTTTTTAATGCAGCTTATATGGTACCGTAATTTAAAACCAATCAAAACTAAGTTTATTTCAACCCGAAATTGACACAGACGATGGAACAACCAGTTGGAGTGGCGTGCTACAAATCTATAAGTACGCAGAATGGGTTTCCTGCATTCATGGATGTCTATCCGTGTATTGCCCCAAGGTTGTGCCATGGCTCATTGGCGCCCATATAGCTACTACATTCGTCATCAGTCCACCAAAGGGCGCGTGACGACGTGCGTCGCGTTTGTTAAAAAAACAAAAACAAAGAAGAATTAGAACAAGCATTAACTGATCCCGACGATAATGACGCATCATGGAACGATACTTCTGGCATAGCAAACATGCTGCCACCTTTTGTCCTTAAAAAAAATCACTGACGTCCATTAGCTCGCCGGCCATTGCACATTGCGGGCTTCTGCCGAAAGGTAAAAAAGGCCTCCCATGTTGAAATTGCCTTTGCAAAGTCGGGCCCAATATCTTAAAGAGATCGTTCAGCCTTTGGAACATATTTCCAAAACATACTGTGGTGAAACCGTAGGGCCAGCTACATCTGATAAGATTCACATCTAATGCGATTTAAACTCAGTGGTTACTGCAACTGTAGCACCATCAAAATATAATATTTTGAATCCATATCACGCTATTAACGTATTGTTACAGCACTTCCCCTTCTCTTCCTGCGTAGCTCCAGAGTAAGCCCTGTTCTGCGACAGCTGACGACGGCAGAATCTGCCGAGGGCTGTCGTCAGCTGTTACGGACAAGAGGCATCGCTTTTGGGCTGTGTTAACCCGCACGTCGCGGGCCCGCTAGCTTGTAAGTGGCACCTCCACTAGCATGAATGCCGTCAGTGCAAGTGAACATTTATGATTGGCACAGCAGGCGACAAAGGCGCATTTATTGGTACCCAGAAGCGCATTGCTTGCAGTTCGAGCCAGTACGTCACTGCAGACCATGCAATTCGTCTATTTCCCAAAGCCAAAGCGCCATTAAAAATAATTACTATGCTAAACGCCATAAGAGAGAAATCAAAGCCGTGGTAAAATGTTTAGCTGAATTCGCGTGATAACGGCCCTGTATGCATATTCGTATAATAGAGCGTTCTAAGGTCTCGTAAAATTTACTTCACAAGCATTTCGACTAGTTTGTGTATGACAAATATTATAGAACACATCAGTTGGAAGATCACATCAAATAAAAAGCATTACTTCGATAATTTTGAACGGGGAGTCCAATGATATTTTTCCCGCCGGATAGATGTGAGAAGTACAAATATGTGAAATGTGAGAAGTATGCGAACCAGTAGCTTTCCAGAAAACGACTTTTAGTCTAACCCAGTACCCCAGATCTGCACCCGTGTTCAAACCAGTAGCTTTCCAGAAAACGACACTCAGTCTAATCCAGCACCCGTTCTACGTCGTCATCTTTGCGTGTACCCAATTGGTAAAGGCCGTAAGCTACAGCCCACATTCACAGGCCGCTTGCGGTCAGGACCTCAACGAGAGCCGTACAACGGCGCTTATTCTCAGTTTCAGGTGCGGCGATAGGCTAGATTCTGTTGTTTGGCATGTGACAAGGTCGACAGAAGCCGAGCTATCCGAGGACTAGCAACTGGACTGGGTTATCGCACGGTTTAGACGCTGCATCAGGCAAGTTATTCGTGACAGCCAGAGACCCAGGCTTCGCAGTGGGGTCCAGTGCTTTTCTTCGAATGAACGGGCCGCATAACGAGCGCATGAAATGAAACTGTTTTCAATAAAGGTCGAATGAGATGACCATACATTTGTTTAAATAAACTCATGATTATCTATTTATTCACTACTTTCAAAATGTCCGTAACCTGCATTTAGGCAGATGTTCATTGCTGTATCCAGGCTAGCTTTGGCCCATTTATGACATGTTGAACACGAACGAACTAAACAGTAGCAACAAAAACCACAAACTATCCTTACGCATGTACCAAAATGTATAGACTGATACCGATCTGCCTCATGCGCAGTTACAGAGATCAGTTACAGGATCAGTTCAAACACGTTACAAAGATCAGTGCTACATTAACTTCGCCGAGATGTTCGTACACATTTTATCGGCAATAATCGCTGGTCCAATAGCGACTGTTAGCACCAATGTGAACGTCATTTATCTCGCAGCTGCAACAAAGCACTCAGATACGATTAGCTCGCCATCGACAAAGTGAGAGAAGAAGGCACATAAGCCGCTGTTATCATCTTTCAGCAGTCGGTTTTCAATAACGACACAATTATGCAAATGGCAGCGCGCTTTGCGCCTCGTTGACCGAGAAACAGAACATCATCCGAGCTACCCGATTTCAAAAGTTTTATAAACGGTCAGGACTCTCCTTGATACATTTCCTTGAACGGCTACTTTGCCAGTCCGATCCATTTTCCGATGGCCTGCAAGTCTTAGGGTGAAAAACAACTCCGCAGCGCTCTAGAGACCAAACGCCCGCTGATACCCACGGCTTTGCCAAGATGAGCCGCAGAAGAGGAGATTTTCCAGTTTGATAACAATCTGAGGCCGGAACGACAAAACCCCTGTGGCGGGACGACCGTGGTAGCTGCACACCATAGGAGTGACGATGCACGCCGTAACAATTTTTTAAACATATAGCGGAACGTTCTTAGCTAAGACAAATTGAATGAGAGTTATGCTGCGTTTCCGGACATCAGAATGTAAGGCCGATGGCAGCAGAAAACATTTGCCTTACGGCTGAATAAAGCGCTATTCAAAAAGTGCCCTTTCTGTAAAAGTAGCTCACTGGAGTTCCGAGCCATTTAAAATATCAATATCGTGCACAAGCAAAATATGTACCGCTGGGCGCATCATCTCAAAATCACTGTCCATCATCACTGAGCTCGCAGGCAAGGTCCGAGAACCACTTCGCTTCTTGCCCACGCAAGCTCAGAGGAGAGAGAGAGAGAGAGAGAGAGAGAGAGAGAGAGAGAGAGAGAGAGAGAGAGAGGAGAGAGAGAGAGAGAGAGAGAGAGAGGAGAGAGAGAGAGAGAGAGAGAGAGAGAGAGAGAGAGAGAGAGAGAGAGAGGAGAGAGAGAGAAGAGAGAGAGGAGAGAGAGAGAGAGAGAGAGAGAGAGAGAGAGAGAGAGAGAGAGAGAGAGAGAGAGAGAGAGAGAGAGAGAGAGAGAGAGAGAGAGAGAGAGAGAGAGAGAGAGAGAGAGAGAGAGAGAGAGAGAGAGAGAGAGAGAGAGAGAGAGAGAGGAGAGAGAGAGAGAGAGAGAGAGAGAGAGAGAGAGAGAGAGAGAGAGAGAGAGAGAGAGAGAGGAGAGAGAGAGAGAGAGAGAGAGAGAGAGAGAGAGGAGAGAGAGAGAGAGAGAGAGAGAGAGAGAGAGAGAGAGAGAGAGAGAGAGAGAGAGAGAGAGAGAGAGAGAGAGAGAGAGAGAGAGAGAGAGAGAGAGAGAGAGAGAGAGAGAGAGAGAGAGAGGAGAGAGAGAGAGAGAGAGAGAGAGAGAGATAGAGAGAGAGAGAGAGAGGAGAGAAGAGAGAGAGAGAGAGAGAGAGAGAGAGAGAGAGAGAAGAGAGAGAGAGAGAGAGAGAAGAAAAGAGAGAAGAGAGAAAGAGAGAGAGAGAGAGAGAGAGAGAGAGAGAAGAAGAGAGAGAGAAGAGAGAGAAGAGAGAAGAGAGAGAGAGAGAGAGAGAGAGAGGGAGAGAGAGAGAGAGAGAGAGAGAGAACAGTACAAGTGCAGTGCATGGCTGGGCATTCGCAGCCGTTTCCTGACGTTTTGATCCGCGCGGCCGGCGCTCGAGCTGCCCCTGGTGCTGAGCTGCCGCCGGCGCTGGAGCTGCCTCCAGTGCTAGAGCTGTCGTTGGCGCTGGAGCTGCTGCCGGTGCTGAGCTGCCGCCGGCGCTGGAACTGCCGCCGGTGGTGAGCTGCCGCCGGCGCTAGAGCTGCCTCCAGTGCTAGAGCTGTCGTCAGCGCTGGAACTGCCGCCGGTGCTGAGCCGCCGCCGGCGCTGGAGCTGCCGCCGGCGGTGAACTGCCGCCGGCGCTGGAGCTCCCGCCGGTGCTAAACTGCCGCCGGCGCTGGGGCTGCCGCCGGTGCTGGGTCACCGTCAGCGCTGGGCTGTCACCGGTGCAGGAGCTGCCGCCGGCGCTGGAGCTGCCGTCGGCGCGCTCCTCGTGATACACGGGCCGAGAGAGGACGTAATGTCGCCTAGCGCCGGCCATCTCTCTCCATCGGCATCGGCCATAAAACGGCCATTGCGGTCGTCCCGAGCCATCGTGGCCGTCCCCAGCCGGGCGCCGTGCCGTGTCGCGGCGCTGACCGCCGGCGTCGTCGACGGCAGTCTGCCTCGATAAAGCTGACCCCATGCTGACCTCCGACCTGGCAGCCGGGTGCACCGGGCACGTGGCGATAGCGGCCCCGGTGTCCCTGGGTCGCATCGGGAGTAAGCGCCCGGCGGGGGGTGGGCTGAGACGGCTGGGATGGCTCCCGTGCGGGATCAAAGCACCTAAATCAGATCAGGTCAGGTGGGTTTAGTGTCTTGAATCTCGGTTGGGAGACTGCTAGTGCACTGTTCTGACATTTAGAGCGGCGTCTCATTGAGTCTATTGAGATATTATCGAGTAATATCGCGATCCGACCGGTGTAAATGACGTGAGATGTACACGCGCTGCGTGTTGGTGGCTGCCTTTCTTTAGATTATTTCCTGATGACCGCCAAAAACCAGTCACGGAGAGCACTAACAGCAGATAAACGCAAACATAATAGCGTTGGCTGTTATGGAATGGAAATGCACAGCCCAATGACAAATGATTATAAGATTATAGGAGCACGATTTACAACGCCTAGGAAGGACGATGTGGTAATGGTTCTGAGTCATAAATGATTACTATCTTGATGGCGCCAGACCTCGAGCCAATGTACCTTGACATCTTTGGGAGCCTGCAGAAGCAGAAGCTTACGGAAGAAATATCATTTTCCACGAGAGATTAGAAGGCAGAGTTTACTGATTTAGCTTTGCGCATTGGTTCATGAACTGAATTATTTGAAATTGTATGTAAAAGTGCTAAACCAGGGTTGACAAAAAAAGCGACGGAATACACAAATCTGCCAAGGCTTACGTTGTTGGTAGTCGTAACCAAACAGCCACCAACAACAATAGCACTCTGAGTAAATACAGAGCTCAGCAAATGAAACTACACTCCAGTGCAGCTATCATGGGCCAATCTGTCTGGTTTTAGATTAGAGCTTGTTGCATAAAGCATCATGTTCACAGACTTAGCGTTGCCCTCCTGATTTACAGATCATATTTTTTAAAGATGTTAGGTCATCTGCTAAACCGCGCTTGGCAACAAGTAGTGAACGGAATATGACGACTTTATCAATGTATTGTCAACGTGTTTGCTTTGGGTGACCGTGCAAAAACATCGAAAAACAAAACCCATTCTGGGTGGATATTGCTTGCGAATAACCGAAGTGTGCGCCTGTGCAGATACCATTGCCCAGACTCACCCGTTATAGCTCACAGCAAGTTGAATTATGATCGCTTTTGAAGGAGGCAACATTGGCCGCCTCCCGCATCACTAGGGAGCCAATGGTCGGATCACGCCGGGATCACAGTGAGTGATATATTCACCTGCACCGCGCTGGTGATGTTACGCCTTCACCTACTGCGGTTTCCGAGATCTGACATCAGTGGCTGAAGCATCATTGGCTGAAGTACTCGAAAACGGGGCGACCCATGGCATGCGCTTGAACAGGGGGACAGGTGGCACACGTCGGCCCATGCTTTTGCCCATTGAATTATGTTTTGTTCTTCTGCAGCAACGTGTAGGTACCCTGTGTCTGTGACGCGAGTCTTCTATATTTAGGCCGGTTTTTACTACTGCAGTGTAAACTAGCGAACTTTGGGTTCTTGCGTCAATCGAATAAGAAAGGTTATGCTACGTTCAGATCTCAGCCTGGCGTGAAAAGCTTGTCTGACCAATCAGATGACACACAAATCCTGTACAGCTTGCGCGGTATGTTTCTGAAAAACAGTGTCTCTTATCACTGCTAACTGCATGGAGTTACGATCTGCGCTTGCAAATATTATGCTTCTAGGAAGCGTGATTACCGGGTCAGACCGACCTCCTTAATTTGATAAATTTTTGAGGGGACGTGCTTGGCCTGCTGCTTCACTCGTGACGCATGTTCCAATGGATTCCGCAATGCATGTTGTACTTGTTAGTACGACTGAGTGTTTTCTCCTGCCTCCCAGTTGATTGGTTTCCCGTCGCCGTGGCACCGGGCCGTCGATGCCTGGGCCCGGTACCAACCCGGTTGTGCAGTTTGCCCGCAGTTAACAATGTCATGCTTTTCATGTGATTCGAATGGGAAAGCCCCACTTCGTTCAAATGGCGACATTGGAGGATGATGAAGCCTCATCGAACTGTATGCAGCACGCATTTTGTTGAATCACGCTTGCTGAAACCTGCGTGATAGCATAATCAGCTGTGCAAGGATGCAATCTTGGAGAAAACATAACAGCCTGGCTGGGTTGGTTCGCCTGAATGGAAAAAAACTGCATTTCAAGCTAGGCGCACTCAGCCTAGGTTTTGTATCGCAAATAATTCACGTTAACACTTCGTATATAATTTTTGTATCGTAATAGTTTGTTCGTATGTTTTGTATCCTAACAATTTGTATCGTAAATAATTCACTATCTCACGTAAACGCTACTCACTACCTCTCACCCGATGTCACTGATCTTAGCGTTGTTAGCCCTACCACTTAGAGACTGGGTCTCTTTTCCAGAAAACTAAACAGTACATTTCACCAAACTGAGACGAGAAGCACCCGACCTCCAAAGGTAAAGATATCGTCACACGAAACCAGTCTATTCACAGCTAGTAGTGACCATTCGATGTACAGCCGTTAAGAGGAAAACATAGGGTTGATGGAATTTCTTTAGATAACACGCCGGTTTCTTTCATCGATAAAAGCGTCAAAAAATGTTCTGCTCACTTAGACAACATGTATAAAATATTCGCATCCATTATTTGTTCTGTTCACACATTGCAAGGCGCTTAAATGAGTTACAGATGGGTTTAGAGCAGCGATTTGTTTATCTGCTTCATAAAGCTCATTCAAATTTATCAGAAACGTGATGGAAGTTCTGCAGCGTTGCTCGTTTTATGGGCGATAATTGCTCCATTCGTCAGGGCTCTGTGCAAAACTCGATCAAGTCATTACACCGTCTGTCAGTCAAACCTGAGAAGACGAGAATCTTTGCGATGTCCAATTTGCTCATCTGGCTGCTGCGGGGCACTTCAATCACGTTTTTGATCACGGTTAGAAGTGTTATTTAACTTACCAGATTTAACCAAGTGTTACTTATAAGAAGCTGGTTCTTTTCATCCTTGAACAGAAAACGTTTGTTAACAACGAGGCAGCTCGAGAGATGCTGTGCTACACACAACCAGCACAGCAGAGGCGACAGGCAGGCGGCGTGTCATGCAGAGTGGACTTGAGCCATAGGTGCCGGATAACTGAGATGGGAGCAATGACGATGCATATACATACCGGTACATACCGGTACATACCGGACATATCGGTAGGCGCATAGCATGCCTACTTTGTTCGAGGATCGATTCAGGTTCCACGATTAAAGGTCCCGAAAGGCGGTTTGTTACGATGCATCGTCGGGTCATAATCTTATGTTAAATGGTTTGCGTGCCAAGATACGTGCCACAGCTCGCTTAAATCAGCACCAGCAATATTGCCTTTCATCTTAAGCATCATATGAGCTGTGACGAATCAGAAACCCGCAAAGGTCAGCTCAAGTCGAAACGAATGACGGGCAACACTTCAGTGCCTTCGTTTGACGCGCTAACCGTGTTGAAAAGCCACTATTCCAAACTGCGCCGCAGTCAACGAATTTCCAGCCCAATGGAAAGGCAAAGCTTTAGCTCGGGATCGCTATTCGTTTGTCAAATACGCTCTGCGAGTGGCGATAACGGCCGTTATATCTTCCCAAAGTATGGCGGATGATTTGGTTAGCGATCGTTTACGCAGCGATTTCGAGACGGGTCATCGACCGACTCCGCTCAACGATCAGGAGAGCTGTGCGGAGCTCCTGAACCACACTGCAGCGCAGTGCGACGATTGCAGTCCTTTCTGGAACTGTGTCCACTGCTGAGCAGTTACCGGAAAGTGGAAGGTCTGTGGGTGCTGACCCGGGGTAAGAAGGGACGCCGCCTCCGCCCGTCGCCTCTCTTGCGCGCAGTGCGTAGCGACGGAAAGCCCCGCCGACGCATGCCACGCCGCTGGATGAGCTGAGCCCGAATGCAGAGACTGCTCCCTCGCTATCACAAATGCCGGACACTCCGAATTCCTGGCAGCGTCTGGCTGTGAGGGTGGACCATCAACTTCATCCAGCGTCAGCGCGCATGTGTCGGCACATTCTGCGGCCGTTCACGGAATACGCCGCGTCGCTGGGCGGCAGAGGTGGACGAGAAACGTGCAAATGTCATTCGCTTCGTTCTCCGCACGGCCACTTGAGACGGGATCGGCGTATTCTGTGACAAACCAACAACCAGTCGCGCCTGCTAGCAGTCATGCACGTGGCGCTCGATGTTACAGAACGCACTTACCAAGTTCAACCAATTATTGGACGTTAGAATCTGATTCTTTTCGTCCTATGAAAAAGAAACACGGGTTATACTCGAAACAAGGACACTGCCATCAACATATTCCGGGGAAGTCAGCTTTCCGACGAACGTGCACACCGATCCGGTTAATCAGCCATCGCACTGCCACTCAAGAAACACCAGCCGGCGGGCGACGCGCCACTTTCGCCGCCACTGGAGCGGCGTTCCTCCATTTTACGGCCGGCACGTGCCCGTCCGTTGGGCCGGCCCTTCACCAGAGCGCCCTTTCACGGCGGCGGCCGGGACCGAGCGCCCTCGACCAGGGCGCGGCGGTGGGCTCGAGCTCCAGCCGGCCGTCACGCCAGGCGTACATTAACGTGGTCCGTAATCCAGTTAGCACGACCGCTTGGCGTCCGGGGTCGTTGCGACCAGCGCGACAGAGCAGGAAATCCTGCTGACGGCGCGGCGGCGTGACATGGTCGCCACTTGGCATGCATGACGCGGAGGCCGGAGTTTGGGGCCGTTTCGAAGCGAGAGCTGCTCGTGACTGCGTCAAAAGAGTTAGGCGAGCCATCACACAGATGTTCCAGATGATTGAATGCTACCATTCACCACGCGAGAACGCATTGCTCGCAGCGCGAGATGGAAATTTTGAATTTATTTGATCTGTTAGTGTTTCAAGTGATCAAAGACACATGGGTGCATAAGCTGAACAGGTTTGATTGCTGCAGAAAGAGCTACCGCATGATTGCACTTCGCACGGTGGAGAACCTCACTGGAGAACGCCGGAAACACTTAGGAGGCGCATTTCATGTGTGAACCCCACATGGCTGTGATAAACCATACCAGTAAACCGTGATATCTCATCTGGCATCTTTGTTTAGAGTGTGTATCTCATCAAGCGAGGATGTCCCACACAAATCAGTGTGAGATCCCCGGAATTCTTTGCGTTGTGACCGCTAACAGAAACAAAGATGTCCACGGTCTAATAAAAACGAGACGTCTCTTAACATGATGCGTTTTGTGGTTTGTTTTGCATCAGCCAGATGACCCTGACGTTGCACTACAACTTTTGAAATTAGGTGCCATGATGACTGGCGTGCCATCTAGGAGGACTTGTCCTCGGAGGACGTCAAAGAGGACGCATAATCAAACATCAAAGGAGCGCACAGGTCACGCAGACCTGTTTGATGTCAGAGAAACGCACTGAATTCTGAATTCCTAACGGCAGCGCTGCTCGTCTGTGCCTACGGTGCACGACCGTAGGCACAGACGAGCACTACGGTGTTGCACTCACACCAGATAATTTGAGAGCCCCACCATTGAGGACGGGGGGGGGGGGGGTTAAATGGTGAGGGGATAGGCAGAGGGGTGATGTTCGCAGTATCGCATATTTGTGGGCATGGGTAAATTATTACCCAAAGTCGTTTTGTACCGGCGCCTAGATGCACTGCAGTATTGACATCTGCTGGTGTATCTCTGAACTAATGCACTAAGTGCTGAGGCACAAGTGTATTAGCATCTCACCTGAGAAATAGAGGAAAAGAGAGAGAGAGAGAGAGAGAGAGAGAGAGAGAGAGAGAGAGAGAGAGAGAGAAAGAGAGAGAGAGAGAGAGAGAGAGAGAGAGAGAGAGAGAGAGAGAGAGAGAGAGAGAGAGAGAGAGAGAGAGAGAGAGAGAGAGAGAGAGAGAGAGAGAGAGAGAGGGAGAGAGAGAGAGAGAGACGACAACGAAGCTCACGCGGTTCCTAGCGCAGTGCTGTTATTACACTTGACGTCAGTCACGCTAGGCCGGCAAAAAAAGCGTGCTGACGCTAACAGCAGATAGTGTAGGAGCTGCGCCATGCTCAGACTAGTCAATACGAAACGACTTGCTGGAGCCGTCCGCCAAATCACTCTTATTGAGCGATGCCAGGTTATTGCTTTTCGTTGGCAATAAGTGCGGCCCGCCGGCTGCTACGGCCATCACCAGGGTGTCAGGCATCCAGAGGGCGCGCGGGCCCGGCCGGCGCGGGTCACCGTACCACGTCCAGGATCTGCTGCAGTGTCAACCCGAACTTCACCGTGATCGGCAACGACTCGTTCGCCACCGGCCGCTCCAACGTGTTGTAGTTCTTCATCACGTTTTCCAGTATTCGCCGCTCGTTCTTGCCCTGGTGAGTCCCTGCGACAACGAGAAAGGAGCGTTATCACCGACGCGTGGTGAGATGACTTACGGCAGACGTTCTGCGCGCATCGCTTTCGCCTTCCATCTGTTGTTCCCTGGTGCCAGCGGCGGAGTGGTTTCAGGCCTTGGACAGACACGAAATAAGTCGCAGATCTCCGACGTGGTCGGTCTTATCTTTTTTACCTCTGCGTATGCGGCGGGCCGGCAACGACCAAGGCATCTCGCGACAATCACATGAGAAGCATGCTTGGTTATGACAAAGGTGATACTTTCATTCATTTCTTCCAGCAGGGCGCCACACCCGAGAGGCCTTAGGTCAGGTCAGGAAAACTAGAAACTAGGAGAATTGGTTCAGGGCACGTTAATCCCCTTAGATATTGAGTTAAATGGCTGCACCACTCTGGAATAGCAACTACAACTATCGTAGTATAGATAATCCATGCGGTTGCACGTAGCACATCGCACGACATGACGATACATCAACAGAACCCACCGGCAGGGCTGACCAATAAAGAGCAGTGTCCATTCGGACGGCTCGTGGCCGCTCGCCGGTCTCCGCGGCTCGTCGGCCGACACTGAAGCCTATTAGAGCACGTAGTCGGACCAGAATGGCCCTGCTTGCACACACCGTGATTACAGAGCGGCGCGCTGGGGCGCATATGACGGGTGTCAGGCTGTGCCCTCCATTACAATGACCCGAGTGGGAGTGGCCCTGGCCGCTGGGAGCGGGCCCTGGCCGCGCGCTGGCCCGCGCGCGGCGTGGGCCCCAGCTAGCGCGCGTTCGCTGCGCATGCGTGAGCTACGGACGGGAGGCGTCGCACACGGACCGCCGTGAGGCGCGAAGGAGAGGACTTCACGGGTTGGTTAAACCCAAGCGCAACCATATGGAATGCTTAATGTGTTGTAAATAGGGGCTGGAGAACTACAGGCATGAATACGGGAATGAGTAACGATGTTTACAAAATGTCGGGTAAGTGCTTCCCTACACACTACAAAATGTTGCTTCTTGCGCATCCGATGGTAATAATTATCTCCATTCATACTGATTTTCAATTATCAACGAACATGAGTACCTAAGGGTGTATTCTTTCCGAAACTCTTCCATAACTTAGGAGCAAGGAAATATAAATAGATGGGCAACGAGGATACGGCTAATTAGGAACGGGCAGCAGGTGGGTATGCAAATGGCATACAAAACTCGAGCGGAGCCCCGTGGGTAGCGGGAAAGTTGTGCTACAGAAATGGCCGCTTTCCGGAGCGGAGTCAGTTGACAGCTTCTCTGCATTTACTTGCTTCAAATGCAACGCCTGAATTTACGAAGCTGTAGCTAGAAGATGAACTACACGGACTCAGACGATGTACATTTTGCACAGTGACATCACAGGCATAAGCTAAGGATGTGTATTTGTGTTCAAACAAGCGTTAATTGTTAGCGTACTCGATGTCTGCAAAGGCGTGGATACAAATGCGTAACAACCCAATATCGACGCAGATATGCTTCATCACCCATGATGAGACCCTGCAAGTCCGATAATACACCTTAATGTGCCTGCAAACATCCCGCTGAATTGATTACGTAAATTAGTTTTCTAAACATTATGACACGTCACCCCAGGCTAATGCAATCGCGAAAACACCGCCCGTCAAGACTGCATAAATAATACAGCCATTGCTGCCTGCTGGCCAAGTTCGCCGCTGCGATTAATTAACACGACTTGAAAGACGACCCTGCCAAGTGCCGCAAGCACCCGTCACGGGTAGGCCAAAATAACCTGCTGACCCGGGCCTGCGGCGCTGGTCTGGCTGGCACGTGAGTCGTATAGCAACGTCGTGAGATCCGACCCATCGCTGCGTCAGATCGCTTGGACACAATGTCTAGGTCCACGGAGCGCAAACCCTGACGTGCCGTGCGAGTAAATCCGGCGGTTAGCCTCTGCCACAATGTCCTCCACAAGCCTGAGGTCAATGTGCGAGCTAGCCATGGTCTATCGTCGTGTCGCGATAGGCCCCACCGGGGCGCGGACAACGGGCCGCTCGGTAAATAACCGTGACAGAGCGGTCCTCGCAATCAATGGCACTCACTGCCGGCGCTGGGAGCTTTCCTCCGCCACGGACCTCGAGAGGAGAGAAGAGAGTCGCCAGCAGAGGACAGGCGCGATCGAGCACACCGCTGTCCGAGAGGACACCGGCGGCTGGGCGGTGTATGATGCGCACCCCGCACCGTCGGGCGGCACGGTGCCGCACCGATTGGAGCGCTGATTGCCGGTGTCCGTGACCTTGTGTCTCAGCACGCTTCCAGACGGGTGTTCGGTCGAATTTGGGCGCCTGTGAATTACTACACCCACACCTACGGCAAATCAAGTCATGACCTTTTGGTATGGTTTGTTCGCTGCGCCTGATTATCTTGCAACGCTTTCTATGGATAATCTGCCGTGGTGAGGAATCGTTCAATAGACATGCCACAGGATCATTAGGGCAATCTGATCATGCATGCAGTTGACCTGGGACTTTCTTAGGCCGAAACCTGGCAGAGTGGGTAGTTGAGCAATGGTGACAATATCGCGTGACCTTTGGCAGGGGACAAGCCACCTGCATTCCCTGGAACACCGCACGTGCCGCCCAGACCCTGGTGACGTGCGCTGTCTGGTGGCAGCACCCGGCCAGACCTGCCCGGCGCGGCCGGTCGGCGGAGGTCGGCCGAGCCGGCGCTCCGCGCGCCGCCGGCGCCGGCCGGCCGTCGGTGCCGCCGCCGCTGGCACACGTCCTGGCCGCTCATGCATACGCCATGTTGTAATCGGCAGCCGACGGACGGGGGACGGACGCGCGCGGCCCGATGGCCATCACGCCGCCGCCTGATTGAATGTCGGAGCGCCCGACGGAGATTGACTGAGAGACGGAGGAAGCTGCGGCGACACGCGGTCCGCCGCCACGCGCCGGCGACGCACGGCAGTGCCAAACAAAGCAAGGGGGACGGACTCAAGTGTTATGAAATGGAGAGCCATGGATGCGGCGTGGGATGGGAAGCGTGGGGCGCGGAAGAAAGGCATGAATGTGGCAACGCATGATATGGCTTAATGAGTGCATGCGGTCCAGGTGGATTGCGTCAAATTGTAAAATACCTTAGAATAAATGACAGGGTTAAAGCTACCAGAAGAAAAAACCATTGTAAGTGAGGCGGACCCGAACATGGCGTCGGACGTTGAGAGGCGGACGTGGGATGTAGTGGGATGTGACTGATCTTCAGGGCCCGAATACCGTGGCGCAATGGCCGCGCCAGGTACGCGGGCTAACTGATGCGGGGACTCACGGGATCGCGGCCGTCATGAGCAGGTCCTGGGATGTGCCACTAGAGGAAGGAACAGTTTGGCGACAAAACCTGCAGGGCCCAGTCCTGCAGGATGCAATCGTATTACCAAGTACGCCTGAATGAGCTTCAGTAATCTGCGAGATTCCTACATATAAGAATTGCGAAAAATAGAGTATAGCAAACGTTACACAATTATGCATGTCAACAATAAGTCACCTGCGAGAATTTATCGAAATCACATTAACTTCTAACCTATGCACTAGCGCATAACGTAGCCAAAAACAAAAAATTAAAGCTTCATGGCGTTGCGGGAGCTATAGGACGTGTCACAAAATCGAGAGAAGGGTTAGCAATTGTAAGAGATAAACTTTGGCAACATGCAAGAACATTATTGGGAAGAAAAGAGGCTACCATTTATAAAAAGATACGCAAATCGGATTTATATGCTTTTCTCTCTCTCTCTCTCTCTCTCTCTCTCTCTCTCTCTCTCTCTCTCTCTCTCTCTCTCTCTCTCTCTCTCTTCTCTCTCTCTCTCTCTTTCTCCCTCCCACTGCGCACCATATGACGATAAAGGTGATCTTCCGCAGGCAAGCCGGAGCACCTACGTGCTCTGGCAGGATGTGCATTTAGAATTACCACCACCCGTTCAACTGCTCAGCAATTTCCGAAAGCACGCGCCCAAGTAATTACCTGACCAATGAATCCCTAGGTCCGTGCTTTTCCCTGACCTTTGATCTTCTGCTCCTTTGGCTTTCGGATTTAAGGCTACTCTCTCTCCCTCTCTCTCTCTCTTTCTCTCTCTCTCTCTTTCTCTGTCTCTCTCTTTCTCTGTCTCTCTCTTTCTCTCTCTCTCTCTCTCTCTCTTTCTCTGTCTCTCTCTTTCTCTCTCTCTCTTTTTCTCTCTCTCTCTCTTTCCTGTCTCTCCCTTTCTCTCTCTCTGTCTCTGTCTCTCTCTCTCTCTCTCTCTCTCTCTCTCTCTCTCTCTCTCTCTCTCTCTCTCTCTCTCTCTCTCTCTCTCTCTCTCTCTCTCTCTCTCTCTCTCTCTCTCTCTCTCTCTCTCTCTCTCTCTCTCTCTCTCTCTCTCTCTCTCTCTCTCTCTCTCTCTCTCTCTCTCGCCCTCCCATATCCTATCTCTTTGTGCCTTTCTCTGTCCCCGAGCATTAGGAGGCTCCTGCTCACTCTGCCGCCCGTTGCTCGTTGCGCCGCCCCCGCCGCCCCCGATCGAGCGGCTCTGCATTAATCGTCAGCCCACGCAGCTCGGCCTTGGCCTGGAGGGGTGCGTGCTTATTGGGGGAGTCCAGTAAGCGGACGCAGCAGCTGGACTGTTCGTGTGAGTATCAACCTGCGCTGACAGGAACGTAAGTTCGATACGATGCCACGTACTTCGAACACAATGACGGTACTGACGACACTCTTACAGGTGCGTGGTAAAATATCAGCGTAACTCTGAAACTAAATGTCAGATCTCGCCTATTTTTCCGGAAAAATACAATTTGGCATTAACGTTTGATTGCTTTCTCGCCTTTGACCACTACTGAGGCCTTTCTCTCAATGCGGGAACGATGAGCATTCCATTTTCGAAATATTGCCTTCGCTTCATCTTCCCGCACTCATCTTGGGCTTCCAGGTTATGAGACACCGTTTATAACATATTACACCCATTACACCCATGCTTGGGAGCGAAATTTTG